CTACAATCAACTCTACGATCTCTGCAAGGACCTTCAATATCCAGCCTTAAAGAAGACAGAGGAGCAATACCAGAAATGTTATGATGACGGAAACGAGGAAGGGGTAGAAAGGCTTCACCGGCAATGGGAAGTGGCCTTCAAACACTGGATACAAAGCAAAAAGGGCCATACCATACGAATCAAAATTCCCAATCCGCGCATCGACCTAGACGATGATCCAAGTGTGGTGTACTACCGCGGACCTCTCCTCACCCCTGAAAAATGTCAAGGGTTGTCCGAGTACACCCGAAAAAGAATACAGACAGTCCAAAATTCTTCCCTGCCCACTTTTCCAGCAGACTTGAGGTCGGAGTTACCACCATTACTTCAGCGTCTTATAGAAGCGCACGAGAAATCGAATTCCCCCGAGTCTAGAGCAGTTCTTGAGTGGCATCTTCAGGCATTTATGAATGCCCCGCCGTCCCCTAAGCCTCTCTCCCCAACCATAAATAGATCAGACCCACACTCGCCAATTTCTAGTACTTGGGTCGTGTCTGCCAACGGCAATGCCTGCGGGAACGGAAGTGGAACGCAAGCTTCATTGAGCCCTCTTTGGAGCCGTTGGAGCCAAGAACAGAGAATCGAAACCCAACTCAATGTGGATCTCATCCCCTTATTGCCGGAAATCCGAACTGTCGAATCGGAGATCAATCGCCTCCTTGCATTGTTTGGAGGGGGCGGCATGCCATTTTACCTGGGTGACCCTAATGCTTTAGCGGTTGCGTTACGCCATCTGGATGAGCACAATAGATTGACGACATTGCTTCGGCAGTTCTGGCCGAATCAAGTTTATCAAAGGTGGAACAGAGCTGAAAAGTACAAGACCGTCTTCCGCTTTCTCAGAAGGAGTGGACACGAGATATCCGCCAAGGAGTACGAGGACACCATTGCAGCCTATGATGAGGACTTTCTAAAAGCACATAACAAGTGGTTAATAGAAATCAAGTCAACTGGAGTTCACATTAAAACATCGTTAGAAGAATCGTATCCAACGGACAAGGCAATACTGGTTTTCCAACCCGGCACATCACTCATAGCTACTGAAACACATCCCGAGCCGGCATTTTGTGTTCTCACTCCGGAAACGACCACGAGATCTGAGATTCATACATCCAAACTTGTGTACCGGAGCGTATATAATACGCCGCCTTCCAGTACAGCGGTCAACTACAGTACCGTGCTTCGTGCGCATCTGAATGGCCAAGAAACTCGGATCAACGCCCTTCTGCAAAAGCGGAGATCCTCGGAATTGACTTGGGATGAAAGCGAACTACTACTGGGTTACCTCGGAGCTTTTATGTCTCCTTCCTTGGCGAAACTCGACTCTGAATTTAGGGCATTAGATGAAAGGGCGAGGCGAGAGATGTTGACCGAGCCTGAGCTCGGCAACTGGTACCACATGTCGACCGCCTGGCGTAAAGGGTACGACTCCTGGTTGGATGAATTTCCGCACGACTGTATCGCCATCGATAAAGGAGACCAAATTGGAAATGAACCTGGAGTACTGAAGTTGCGAATTGAAGATCCGTCGAGTCTGCAACTAATAACTCGCTCAAAGAATCTCCCACTTCACCTCCAAAGTCGCGAGGATCTGATGAATACAATGGCATCGGACCCCGCTGGAATAAGTGATAAGAACAGGGCGCATTTTGGTGAGGTACTTACTTCGTTATTTCGCCCGATACTGGAAAGGTTCCGCTATCTAGTCCAGGATCACAATCGAATGAGGATATGTAAGCGCTCGGGTAAAGACTCCGAAGACGAGGCCTTGATGGAGGCAATAATATCTTTAGGACAAACAATTTTGAAAGAGCGCATTTTTCAGTCGAGAGCTACACGCAAAATTCATATCCTGGAGAGAGTTCCAGGGGACTATGCGATCGAGGCTGTCGACTTTACAGGAGGTGTTATTTTCCCGGTACCAGAAATAGAATATGCCGCCAACGTGCATCAATTGTTCGATCAACTGTGTCCACCTCATCTCGAAGATAGCAAGATAATGTTCCATGACTTAGCCTTTCGTCTTAGGACAGAGATGGACTTGAACGGGGAGGAATTTGACTTTCTGACGCAAAACATCCCGGATATCTCAATGATGGAGGTTGATACCCTTGCAGGTAGAGTCTTAGAGCTCCTGTTATCATGCGGAGAGGAAGGGGTAAGTGATAGTCAGACCCAGAAAGAATTAGCGGATGCTCTTGTCAGGCTATGTTGGAAACAATTGATGAAGCTTCCGGATCAAGCTAAAAAGATATGGAATATTCTCGGCAATTCTGTACCTGCCAACCAATCTCCAGTGCTAGTAGCAAGAAGGCTTTCAGGGTCATCACCACTTGCTCCACCTTCACTTATGACTCCCCCAGACGAGGCCGAAGTCCACGAACTGGAAATCGAAATCAACAACCTGATCAGAGGAGAGAAAACCAACACAATCACCAATGAGCAGCAAGAGAAGTTAAATTATCTGTTGAGGGCCTTATTACCCCCTCGTCTTCGATTCTTGAAGAACCGGATCGACAATCTCGACGGACAATATCTTGCGACGGCTGGGCTTGATATGATGGACAGTCTGGAATTTGCAGATGCTCAAGATCAATTTGAACCCCTGTTTAAAAAGTGGAAGCAAGGTATCTCAGACTTAGGAATTGTCTTGGACAGTTGGCTGTCTACTCCTGAGGCAATTACAGAGGCTTGCTCTCGTGCACGCCAGTGGAAGGAATTCGTGGCAAAACCCGCTGGTTCGACCAACTTTGGAAACATCAGCAATCAACTTGAAGACGTGAACGTCCAAATATGCCAGGAAATATATGTTACTCTGAGGCATTTTGTAGAGAATGGATGCCAAGATCAAGTTGAGGTCATGGACCAACTGCTGCTGCGATTCGTGCCCCCCGAGATCACCAGCCAAATACATCAGATAATGACGCAGGCGCAACTGGTACAAGAAGGCTCTGACTCCGAGAAAACCTCAAACGCAATGATGCTGCACACAATGAAGGACCAGTTGATGAAATCGTGTGTGGGGTGGGTCACTTCACTAACGGTAAGTCTGAAAATGCACGCCCGCTTTAATTCTCACTGAAAGTCATAGCCTTTACAACGTCAAAAATTTCGAAGTCAAGGTAGACGCGGTCAAGACGATCCAATTAAATTTACTCCCAAAGCTGAACGGCGAGGTATCCAAAGAGCGGCTATAGAACTGGCTTTAAACCTTCTTGTCACCAATCAGGAGCAACATCGACCCAAAGATCGCTTCAGAATAGTCGACTTGCCCCCAAAAATACAGCAACCGGAAAAAGAAGTCTCTCTTTGCTTGCCCCTGAAGCCGGAAGGTAGGCCCCTCGAACAGGACCCTTTTGAGTACACGAGGAAAATGTTAGCATTCCGGCGATGGAAAGACTATGACTACAGTCTTTCCAGGATCCGTACAAGCGTTGATCGGAATGAATCGTTACCTGCACCAGAGAATTTCAAGGGTCCTGCTTCAATTGCAAAAGTCGATGATGTTCATGCCGCTGCGAGAACACAACTCGCTGTTCTGGCGTCAATTCAAAAAGGACTAATTGAGGCTGAGAAGGCTGCTCCACGACCACTTCTTGAGCAATTACTCCTCCTTGTTGATGCGGGTCTGAATCATGACACCCGTCCCCATGAATTAAAGGATGATGAGAGATTGACAACAGACGGACCTGACCTGCTTGATGAGATAGCTGGGGAGTCATGGGATGAGGGGAGACTCGGAGAAGATGAAGATATTCCGTGGATTCAAAACACGTCCGACGAGCGTGGTAGACTCGAAGAGTTTGAGAAAGACATGGAAGAGATAGCAGAGCTGCCATTGTGGGAACCCTTGCCTGACCCTGACCCAATGGAAGAGGATTCTTTCGAAATATTTACTCAGATTCCCCACGGCCCGACCATACCGAGCACGAAAGGGATGACTGGAGATGAAGTGAGGCAGACTACTGGAAATAGACGCATGGCAAAGACCGATGGAAGTGCTGGAACACCTCATCTCTGGGATTTGAGGAGCGTGACCAGATATCTAAGAGCAATGGAATCAATGGGCAGGATACAGTAAGTAATTCTTCATGATTTAGGGTTTCGAGTTAACAGCGATAGTCTCGATGGCCTGCCCACCGGGGACGTTCTTGTGTCAAGAATTCCACTCAGTGGCCACCCTGAGAACAAGTATGTGGTCTCGAGGGCAGCAGCCGCCACTTCGCCAGGGGTGTATACGAATGAAGAAGGGAAGCTTGAAGTTCGTTATGACGCTTCCGGCAGAGTAGGCCCTCCTATACTTCAGTCAAACAAGTTTCACTACTTGCAACGGCTGGCTTTCCGACTAGGCCGTGATTTAAAAGAGAGTGCCAAAGTCCTTGCGAATGAAACGCCACCCGATAAACGCGTCGAGGATCAGGTCAAGTCAAGAGATGTGTCCGAAGCAGAAATGGAAAACATTTTGCCTGCGGATCGTTCAGAAGAGCCTTGGGTAGCCAATCTAGTGAAACCGCCGCCTAGAAGCATCACCCTTCAAAGGATGGCACAAGACTTACACAAGATTGCACCGGATCTTGCTCAAGAGGCCGGTTTCCAGATCAACCCCGGGGCCGAAATTACGGAGCAGCAAGCAGCAACATTGTTCCAAATGCAGATCCTCGAAGAGGCGAGCAATAACTGGGAGTTCAAGTTCCCAGAAAAGGAACGTGTTTGGGATTTCGCTTCCAACAGATTGGAAACTACCACCAGAATTATCAATGGCAGGCCTGTTCAGGGAATATCCAAGCTCACTCAATACTTCCATATGCGGAGATATCCACCTTGTTGTCAGAGTACCGCGACGAAGGCTGTTATCAAGACATCCGGACCCACGATTCAGGAGAAGCCAGAACCTGTTCTCATGCCAGACATCAATGTTGATGCCAAGCATCAGCGAAAGACGAAGGTGAGACAAATCAAGGGCCGAGAGCCATATTTCTCACTTGGAGAGTCAGCATTCGAGAGAGCTTTTCTGAGTTGGGGAATGGAGCAGGAGTTGAAAGATGGTATGTATTTCCGGCACCAAAACGAGCAATGACTGACGTGATGCAGTACCCGAGTTTCATATCCCAGAGAAAAAACGCCGCAGCTGGTGGCATTTTGGAAAGAGCAAGGGCGGTGATGATCAAAACCTCCGCAGAGAGAGATACCCACTCCCCAAAATCCCGGCGCATTGGGTACCAGACAGCGTCTCAATTTCCCAAAAGCGTGCCCATGTCCTCGAGATGGCCAAGAGGACCCCAAAGTTCCCGAACCCAGAGATCTTCGAGTATTACCACACGCCAAGAGAGATCGAGCAAATCAAGGTGCAGCGGCAGTGGGATGACTATGCCACGAAGAGGAGAGCGGCCGATGCTGCAGTCGAGGAACGTACGAAGAAGAAGTTTGAGAATCTGATACCGGAAGAGAGGAATAAAGCGTATAAGGTGTTGGGAATCAATCAGACTAGTGGGGTTTTCATTCGTGACGAGGAGTCGGGAAAGGTGGGTGAGAAGAGGAGACGGAGCTCAGGGACAAGTTTGAACGATAGCGGGAAGAGGACGAGGGTGGTTTGAGTTGTCGATCCAGTCTTAAATTTCAGCGCTGGGGTAGGAAACTGGTTAATATTTTCTTGTTCTTCTTCGAGGGGAATTATTTTGTACGAGTAGCACCCGCTTCAAACCCGTTTCCTTGAATTAATGAATTCTTATCGTTGTAATTGCCTAGACTGTGTACTTCTCTGTGAAGGGCGTCACCGCCTCTCTGACTGTGTCTAAGAGATGTGCATATACCTGGTCGCTTCTGTGGAAGAGCTCAGTGTTGGCGATTATGTCTGGTGTAGCAGTCGCATGGTTGTCCTTGGGCAAGCAAGGTATACCAAATCATTCACCCAAGCTGAAGTACTCTCCTTCACCACCATCCATTGAAAAAATGGCTCAAGGAGACTCAAGGGGTGAAGATTGAACTGACAATACTAAGAGAAAAAGGGTGCAGCAAAGATGACCGCAACGGAGCAGTTAATAGCGAGTGCCGGAGGTACAAACAATCCTCGATCCTGGAATTAAATGGTACGTGTCCGAGTTAGAAAGTAATCTCTTCGTATATCTAGCCTCGCCTTCTTTGGGTCTTGGTGAAGCAAAAGAGAACGGCATCAGGCCAACCAGTGGAGGCTTAGTGGGCGCAGGCAAGATAGGTGCGGCATTCAAAATGATAAGGCAGCCTTGTCGCCCGCGACGACGACCATTCAAACATTGCTTCAATTTATTCAATTCAGTCATTCGGCCCATGCCTCAAACTGCCTCCAGAACCCCCTTCTCAAAATATTTGGAGAGGGAGATCATTTCAAAATGCTCGATCCACTCACCGCATTGGGTGTGGCTGGCAATATCGTGCAATTCGTCGACTTCACCGTCAAATTGATGTCCAAAAGTCATGAACTCTATAAGTCTACAGATGGAGCTCTGGTCGGGAACAAGGATCTAGAAGCTATTGCAGCTAATTTGAATCGATTGACCGAAAGACTGCGAACAGACATGAACCGCCATCTACTCCCACCCGTCAAGGCCATCAAACTCCGAGACGATGTCTCTAGCAAACAAGCTGAGAGAGAGAGAGCTTTCACACTTCGAGATTACACCCCGGAAAATCGTGCTGAGATAGAGCTTGGGGAAATCAATGCCAAATGTGGCGAGGTAGCAGGCGACTTAATCAGCATTCTAAGAATGTTCAAGGTGGAAGGGAATAACAACAAATGGAAAAGTTTCAGGATGGCACTCAAGACCGTCTGGGACGAGGATCAAATACAAAAGGCAGTGTCTAAGCTCACAGAGTGCAGGAAAGCACTAGACACTGAGCTTCTGATATCTTTGAGGTGAAAAGTCTTTCAAACAAGCTATTAGAGTTGCACTCGCTGATATTGCGCATAGGACTAGCATCAACGACGCGGCTTTGAAGCAGTCCGACGGCTTCAAGGCGCTCGACTCAAACACGCAAGATATCCACGAAACTCTGGACAAAATCCGCACGGACAACAAGACAAACCAACAAGCAATCATAAGGGCTATCAAGGAGCATCAATGGCACGGGGATAATCCAATGCATGTGGCGGAATTCTCAGTCAGGATTACAGATATGGTGGAGCAGGAGAGGATTGCTTTCCTGCGAGAGAGATTCCTGCACCGACTTAGCTTTATGAGCATGTCCGACAGGCAAGAAGAGATAGTTGCCGCTCACAATGCGACTTTTGACTGGATTTATAACGTAACCGCCGACCAAAGCTGGAGCTGTTTCAAAACATGGCTTCGGCAGGGAAATGGGATCTATTGGGTAAGTGGAAAAGCTGGATCTGGAAAGTCGACCTTGATGAAGTACATATACAACAACCCGAAGTCTCGGTTACTACTAGAACGCTGGGCAGGAAATATGCCCCTCATCACCGCGAGCTATTACTTCTGGAACTCTGGAACGTCAATGCAGAAGTCTCAGACTGGTCTTCTTCAGTCTCTCCTTTACGAATCACTCATTCAATGCGAAGAGTTAATTCCTCTGATATTCCCCTATCGCTGGCGGTCTTACGATTTCTTCGGAGATGACATGAATCCCTGGAGTCGAATGGAGCTCATGAAAGGATTCGATCGCTTGCTTAAACAAGACGGCGTCTCTGCAAAGTTTTGCTTTTTTGTTGACGGGCTCGATGAATACGATGGTAATCCCAGACGATGTTTTTGTCTTTTTTCTCCAGTCTCGGTTAGTCAGCATCGCCGCTCTACTCAGGCGCTACTCACCCTCGCCTCACCCTCTGCTCAGGTCGCTCAGTCACGTTCTTGCTCTCGCCTCTAATTACCAATCGATAATTTAATACTCGGTTATGCAGAACAAAAGTCGGCAAGTCTAAACGACTGTATTGAGGGGCACGAATTCGGCTCCCTAGGGCACCCAAACAGGGCCTCTTTATGTCTCGAGGCAGATTCTTCCTACAATATGGAATCGCTTTGGGTCTTTCCAAGTGAGGATATGCCATCGTGCTCCTTCTCATATTTTTAATCTATTCTTTCTTCTACTAGACTCTATCTCCATCTACAAGTCCGAATTTGCTTGCCTTTCCAGTAGACAACTTAATTTTTGGCATGTTGTTGTCACTTACATGCAAACGCACTATTAGCCTGGCAGAGAAGAGTCCTCGGTGCTTGTGACTGTTCGAAATACGAAACTGCGAATGTGTCACGGCCTGGACAAGCTGCGGGGGTGGAAATGGGTGTATATTGGTATGTTTGTGCATGAATGATGGAGCCCTAATGGCGGTGAAGAAGCTATAAATATGCCTGTACACAGCACGTGACAGAATGGTTGGTGTGAAAGACGCAAATTCAGGGTGTAATACGTGTGAGGACAAGCCTACCGAAAGTTCACCATAACGACTGCGAAGATGGAATTAGTCCCTGCGCGGATCTCTAGGAAACAGGGTCGGAGCCGATTCAGATACTAGTCGAAGGATAATCTTATTTCTCTTATAGAATAGTAACCTAGGGCTAAGCTCCCTATTTTCTTTTATATATTCTTATTTTCTTTCGTAGCTAGCCTATGAATATACTCTGACAAGTCTCCGATTTGCATTCTCATATGCCTCTACGCAGCCCTGAGTGTTTCGTGCGGTTACAATGCCTTGACTACTCTGTTACAGCCGTTGCAATACGGCGGCTAGCTTTCGTATAATATTCGTATCTAACAGTCAAATAACTTTAATAAACTAATCGATACTCTTCTATTCTCTATTTTACATTTCTTGATATACTATTCTTAAGTCATTATAATATTTCGCTATTTCCAAGTCAAATCTACTCTTGGCATACACCTAACTGGGTTAGTTGCTTTTGGCCCATTACATCGGCAAAACCTTACTCGGCTCAACTTCAGCTTAATTTTGCTCAGCCTGAATCACGCTTGCTCGGGCTTACTCAGGCTTGTTCATGGTCAAAATCATTGTGCCTCAGGCTACTCCCGATCTACTCAAGGTCTACTCAGTTTTGCTCAGGTGTTGCTCAAAGTCAGCATATAATTGTGTGAATGACTAAAGGATAACTATGTACTAACAAATTTCAATCTCTTTTTTATCCAAGTCTTCTGGATACAAACCAGATTCCCAAGCAGTAACGGGACTCCCATCCATGCATCCAGCTAAATAGCACTGACGTCGGAATTGGTAGTGGTCCCTGAAACTCCTCAGTACATAAGGTAACCGACCTCCAAAGAGTATCCAGACTTCGTCGCCTTCTTTGATACTACAATGACCCATTCCCATCAATCCGTTGTTTAATACAAAGAACGAATGGTTTGTCTTAATCGACATTTCGAAATTGGACGTCTCCTGCATTATCCTCATCCGCTCTGCATGTGATTCTGACATTCGGTCTCTCTCTTCCTTTGACCTCGGCCACGCAAAATATGATACTAGATCCTGCCAGTGGAATGATTCTCCTTTTCCGCCGCCTGCATCAAAATTTCGGCTCGAACCCGCAGTAATCGTCTGGGCAAATGCTTCAGCTAGGTTCTCAAAGGGTCCATAACTCCTCAGATTGGCAACTCTTTCTTCAAATAGCTGTTGTACTAGGTTTTCTTCGGTACTTGACAAGCCAGAAAGCCGGTCATCTACGAATTGAATTGTTCCGAGGCGTATGCCTTCAACAACCAGACCTTTTCGATCACTCACAGAGACATTTTCGCTTGTTTTGCTTGCGCATGCATTCCATCGAGAGCCGATATTCGTGACCCACAGTTCTGATGTACGTGGTTTCTCATCCCAACGAGGAACCCAGGACGGAAAACCATCCAGCACATTGCGCTCTCCGGTAACAGATGACAAAATATCCAACTGGGCATGTCTCGAACCCGGATTGCGTATTACATACTCTGTTGCATTTGTGAATATTTCCGGAATTGGCCTAGAGTAGCTTGGTTTGAGTAGCGAGTGGTTTAGTTTTTCTTGATTAGACAAACAAACAGCGGCATATACTCGGTCCCGGATCTCGGATGTATCGAAGCCTCGTAATAGCTCCAATGCTTCTGCGAGCTCTAAGCGAACCCCCATATTTCGTCTTGGACTGCAGGCATAAATTGCTCGTATGCGTCTCATATTTTGTGTATCCTGGCCAGTACGATTCGGGGGGTAGGCTTTCCGATCAAGCCAGGCTGTAGCAATGGCAAGCTGGTCCCATTCGAGCTCATGTTGGCCAATCATTATTATGGAATCTGCAAATGCAACCTCCTGGATGATCCACGTCCTTGAAAACCAAGGACGTTCCAAAAGCCAGCGTAGGGAAGCCCATTTTTCTACTTCGACCCTCATTATGTCGAACTCCCACATTGGAGTACCAAGAAAACCGCTCAAAAAGCTGGTAGCGTGCAGCGAACCATAGCCCGCTCGTTGGATGAGGGTCGGCTCACTGACCAAGTCAAAATCAATTTCCGATAAGGAATTTGCGTTTGTCTCGGTCATGCACCAACCCGAAGCTAAGTCAATAACTCTTAAGGCCTTCTCTGCTTGACCAAACTCATCATCCCCAAGCCATACCAGAACCTTTGACGCTTGATTGTAGATAGCTTGCATCAATAAAACCTGACACTCTCGTTCATGTATATCCTCTTGGTTGATGCAGATTGCATCAGCCCAGACCACCCGTTCGAGGTCTGGCAGTCGAAGCCGCCTGAGAGCTTTCTCTAGATTAGGAGTGACCGTTTGAGCAAGGCCACGATTCAGGATTGATGCTGCAGGCTGCGGATTACCCCAAACATAAGATAGGGCTTCATAGGTGGGTGCTTCGTTGAGCGAGAAAATCTCCAGCTCACAAGTAATAGGGTCATCGTTGGATCCAGGCGCTAGCCTCAGCAAACGTATTGAGTTGGCGGTAGGAAGTGGAATATAAATTTGACCGGACATGGTTTCTGAGACTATGAAGATGAATGCGGATGCTTGTATAGTGGAGAATTCGGGTCTGATCCTTCGTGGGTCTGTAGAGTGTAGGGGAGATGAAGCGCTTTGGTTCAAAAGTGTTGGTTGGAGTCAAGATCTAGAACTAGTCAGCCGCTATTCCGGAAAGGGATCCTCATTCGTTGATACCTAAGCGTCAAATAAGGCGACCAATTCATTGGTCCTCGTCAAGGCTGGCAGAATTTTGAGGATTCGGATTGTTGAACTGAATCTTGATTGTGGTGTTTTTTGGGAAAGCTCAAGCTCCCTTAAAACTCTGGAAATTACATCTCCACTTAAAAGTGGGGCACAGCCCCTGATTTTCGACACGGATTTCGCTCATTTTCAATGGATGGTATCCCTTCGTCCGGTGAGACATGGTCCGTACGAGCAGGGGGACCTGGCTCAAGGCGAAAACGCGTGCCTTTACGCAGGTGCAGGCCCTAATGTTTGTTACACCGCCTTGAGTTCTGCTAACGAGCCTGCGGACCAAAGTCTGTGTTTTTAGGGCATTTCGCTAAGAATCGAACCCCATAACTATTTTGGATGCTTTTCTTTTATATTCAAAATTAGTTATTAAGGCTTTCTAAATTCATTCTAGCTTCCTTTATCGTATCCTCTTGAATTATGTAAAGTTTCAATCTATAGTTGTTAAGAAATTGTAAAGTGAATGTGGCGACTTTGGTTTTGCGATACCTGTAAATATCGCTAAAAACACGGACTTTGGTCCGTAGGCTCGTAAGCAACAGTCGGCTACAGCGCATTACTACAGGGCATTTCAGCGCAACCCCTGCAAAGGCGGTGTAACGAGCCTGCGACCATGGGTCTGTGCGCACAGGCGCTTTTTCAGGCTTCACTTAACCAGCCCCCTAAACAACCCACCATAGCCCTGAACACACCCCCACCGCTCAATTTTCAGCACGAGAAAGGCTATGAGATCCCTACGAAACATAAGGAGGCTATGCGCCAGCTTCGCTGGTTTGGAAAGGTCCCCGTTTGCGCCCTAATAGTACGATACAAGCTCAGCGATACCACGGTCCGCAAGATCCTTAGCTACCCTTACCCAGAATGACGACGCCCTAATAAGCTGATTTTAAAGCAAGAGCATTGGGTACAAGTACTTATGTACTCTCCCCCCCCCCTAATTAAATGTAACAGTGGGTCCAAGTGCAGGGGTTTTTTGGTATGGCAACTGGACCGTGCCAGGCTGGTTTTGCGGGGACCCACTGTTACATTTAATTAGGGGGGGGAGAGTAGCGGCATGGGTAGTCAACTCCTAATTAAACGCTACTTTAATACCTAACTTTCGTGATTTTTTGATGAAAATGCCCTGTGCGCACAGACCCATGGTCGCAGGCTCGTAACCAACATTAGGGCCTGCACCTGCGTAAAGGGACGCGTTTTCGCCTTGAGCCAGGTCCCCCTGCTCGTACGGACCATGTCTCACCGGACGAAGGGATAAGTAGAAAATTTCCAGAAATAGACTTCACCAGGCAACAGCCGACTTGTACCCCTGGCAGAACACCGAAACCCGTGATTCTTTAAACGTGCTTAGAAAATTCTGAAAAATTGCAAAGTTACTATAACTGGGTTGCAGATCACAAGCATCAATTTATTTTCCTCTGTGTGTTTGTCATTATTGTAGTTAAATGGATTTTTGGGCGTCTAAGTGGTGTGGGCATTTATTAGCCGGTGAACTTTTCTGACAAGGATCTGCTTCGGCGCCCCTGACGCTGGCGCATCTGTTCGCTAGTGATTATCCACTGCTCAAATGCCTGGAACGAAACCCCTCAGAATATGGAAGGCCAGACCTCGAGTTTGCGTGGGATTTCCTTTGGTATTGATTGATATATAAGTAAATAGCGTTAACCTAAGAATACCCAGGGCAATACCACAGGTGACAGCGTTCGGCCTCCGATAGGGAATTGAGCATGGAAAAGACGCCTTCTGAGACAGGAACTTTATATTCCCCTGTCAAAAGGGTTCCACTTTGTTCCTATAATTCCAGTGATAGGAGATCATAATGTAGGGCATCATTTTAGTAGTAATAAAGGGAGTTTCGACGAGTTTATATTTTATGTCCATATGCGGCTGTTCACCTAAATGAAGGAGCCGAAATTTAGGTAGATTATCACAAAACTGCGATCGATTACCCTGACTACTCTGGCTTAAAGTAAAAGTAAGGCGCATGATCCATTTTGTAATATGCGTAAGTGTTATACTGTAAAGGCAAGTACTACGAGCTATAGTATTCTAAACCGATACACTCGTAATTGTAGTACTCCGAATATCAAAATAGACCTGGGGGTCTAGAACGATCACCTCAAAATAATAGAAACTATAGCCGATCCGCAAGGAACCGGAATGGGACCCTTGAACAAAATCCAGCTGGCTCACTAGCGTGCTCAGGACTCAGGGCTTAGCTCAGGTTAGAGCAGCGACTGCTCAGGTCCAAAGACGGAAATGGACTTTAGTGAAGTCACTTGTCGTCTGAGATTATGAGGGTAATAACACAGAAGTTGTCAAGCTGTTCCAAGGGGTATGTTGCAGTAAATGCGGGTGTAAGTAGTATATATTCGATAAAGAGAGGAAAGGAGGTATGGCACGGGTGGCCAGAGCTTAAATACAGTGAATGTGGTCACGTGGGCCTGCACGTGACTGGAGCACAGTTGCCATGCAACAGGGTAGCCGCTTCTTCCAACGTCAAAATGTGCCTTTCTAGTAGGCCTCTCCTAGCTTTTGAAGACGGTTTTGGGAAATATCCGAACCTGAAGCTTCAGAATTTGACGCAAAACGACATTAAACTTTACACCGATATCGAGCTTGCGAAAAGTCCCAGATTCGAGATCCTCAAAATGAGAGAGCCAAAGCGTGCCCCAGAACTCGTTACAGAGATTGTCGACAAATCAGCAGGCGTGTTTCTGTGGGTGACACTTGTTGTCAAATCATTGCTCGAGGGTTTACAAAACTCGGACAGAATATCGGATCTCCAGAAACGCCTACGAGCCCTTCCAGCAGGTCTCGAAGACTTGTATCTCCTGATGATGAACACACTGGACAAGTTCTACCAGCAGCAAGCTTCACAACTTTTTCAAATAGTCCATCGAGCACGACTCCCATTATCCGTGCTCTCGCTCTCGTTCGCCGATGATGATGAAGACCCGGAGTTCGCTATCAGAGCGAAATTGGATCCTTTGGATGAAAAAGAGTTGTCATGGAGATATGAGGAGACGGTACGACGGGTAAACAGCCGTTGCAAAGGCCTTCTGGAAGTTCGAGTATCAAGCGACAAAGAGCGTCTGGTAGATTCGAAAGTCGATTTCCTGCATCGAACTGTTAAAGACTTCCTGGACACCCCAGATATCTGGAAGACAATCGCCTCTCAATCCGATCCTAGTTTCAATCCAGATATCTCCCTGATGCGTTCCTACTTGGTTCAGATGAAAGTCCTCAACACTTTGCAATGGGACGTTGGAACCTTTGGCTTACTAGCCGGGGAGTTCATGGAATACGCAGCGCAAGCTGAGAGAACTTCCGGTCAGGTGCAAGCTTCTTTGATGGAAAACTTCTGCCAGACCGCGACCGACCTGTGGTTCAACTGGACCGTCACCAGCAACAGAACTGTATATCACAAAGAGGGTAGCTATGCTTGGGTTAAAGTCGTGCCTCACGTTCACCAATTTGTGTACGACTCCCAGCCATCATTCCTGTCGTTAGCGGTCTCCTACGGGTTGGATCTCTATGTGGAATGGAAGCTGGATCAGGATGCACAACCAGTGAAAACTCGACTTGGACGCCCACTACTCAACTATGCTGCAGCTCCCAAACCTCGAGAAATCTGGGGTTCGCGGCCTAGGAACCCGAAGCTCATTGCGATACTTCTTAAATACGGTGCAGATCCTAATCTTGAGTTTGGAAATAATACGACATGGACAGACGTCTTACAATACTGCTACGAAAACGACGGCTTACGTCCACTGAAGTCCGGCGACAGGCAAGAGCTGTTTCTACCTGTGCTAGAAACCATGAAACTCCTCGTAAGTGCTGGAGCGAATCCCGAAGCTCGACTTTCTTGGAACGGCTAGCAGATTCCAGCGGTAACCGTTATCGACGAGACATTCGGGCGAAAGTTCCCAGAAGAGGCCTTGGAGGTCAAGCAATTAATACGCTAGAAACTCGAGGCGAAGGTTGGGAGGAGGCGAGCAAACGAAATAGAGAAGCACTGGGAGCAGACGCCCCAAGAACTTCGGAGACAGGCAGAGCGATTAGATCAGATGGAGAAAGAGAAGAGGGTGAGAGATGCACAGCTGAAAGAGGAACAGGCTGAAGAATTAGCCGTGCTGTATGGGAAGAAAATCAGACCCACAGCGAAGGAGGACGATATCTTTAGTGGCATCGATCAAGAGCCAGTGATGATTATAAAGTTTCCTTGGGAGGAGAGTGAGAGTCTTCCGCAAACTCCGGAAGAGAAGCCCGCAGTATTGATTATTCCGAAGAAGAAGAGATGGTCAAGCAATTTGAGAAAGTTTGTATTCTGGAGATCTAGGCTACAGAGATGACCTGCGATATTGAATAACTCATGTGTATATCCAAGGACTGGCGCAATTATTGCCCAGGGAGTATATTTTCTTCAAATTACTTATGCTTATATAGCACAAAAGAGTAGGCTACTGGTGGGCAAGTAAAGCTAAAAAGGCGAATAGGTATAATACCAAAAAGGTTTACACATAGTGATAATAGTCGGTCTCCCTTCTCCGTTCGCTTCGCTTACAGTCGGGGACCCTTGACCTCTGCTTTTGCCTAATAAAGTTTAATAATATAGATACAGCGAATTTTCGTTTATTATGCGGGAACTCAAAGTGCTACTATCTAAGACCTTGCAAAAGATATCGGCAAGTATTAGAACTATGTAAAAGGACACGCTTTAATTGCCCTCGTCAAGCGTCGAAGCGGTCGGGCTAACGGCTAGTTCCTGAATTATCTACAGGCAAGTCCAGTACGGATTTTGAACGAGGCGACAGAGTGCCAGAGCGACAAGGTCACGAAAATGTGAGGGCTCAAATTCCTCATTATCCGAGTCAGCCCACCACTCGTTATCAAGATATAAGACATCGTTTGAGAAGGGGAAGTCCTCCAGCTCGTCATAGTTACGATCGGATTCCCATGTCCTCACGTCGATTCTCAAGGCTGCTTCCCACGTGCTCTCCTTTCCGGGGAGTCATTACGATCGACATTTTGTTCCGCAGGCCTCCCAAAACCGTGTACCCGTTCGTACCTTCCACAAGTTACCACTGGTGGTTCGTGAAAGCGACTGGGCCATACTAGCGACTGGGCCACCCGCAAATTTGGTGTTCCTCGCTAAATTTGTAGCACAGACCAGTGACCAGTAGAGACTAGCTAGAAGTACCTCCCATACAAATTTACTATGTGAAATACTTGGCCCAGTCGCTTTCACGAACCACCAGTGGTAACTTGTGGAAGGTACGAACGGGTAAAGCGTGTGGCCCCAGCAGTTGGCTCGATTAGAGCAGGAAGCTTAGCTTTTAAATGGGACGATATCTTTTCACGAATACATCACAGCCTCGCTGCATGGGTCCTCAGCTGGGCGTTTTGGTGGGAGTTGAAGTAGGAAAAAATAGGCGATGGAAACGAAATATCACCCTATCGATGGACGTAATCCCTGTTAATCGAACGGCCGGACACCCGAACACCAATACATCGTAACCACGTACCTGCACAGTCACGCGGCTTGCAGTTGAGGCTTTCATTTGCGAGGGAATCGCGGCCGTGACTGGAAATGTTTACTTCTATTATGCAAGTTGTTTTCCCAATCAGGGCTGAGGATAGGCCCTTTGGCTTGTTGTTCTGTCCTGTGGCTTAAGGCTGAGTTATCATTGATTTTTCTATTTGTCGGTGTAACCGAACTCCCTACCAAAAGCACGACCCCACCAAAAGCACATGAATTGACGAGATTCCCCGAAATTTCCAAAAATTAGCATTTAATAACCACTTAATGGATTATAATAAAACTGAAGCAATACGTAGTATCAATTGAGAACTCGATGTTATTTCAATTAAAAAAGCTATTTAAAGCGTTGTGGTAAACTAATTGTTCGCGTGGCTGTTCTCCTTGCTCCCACCACCATTGGAACCACCCCCTGATCTGGTATAACCACATTGGGTTGTACGGGCACTTCCACTAGTGCCTTTCCCTTAGGGAGCACCTTTGTCCGATTTGATACTCTCGGAGCAGCCTTTTTGGCCTTCGGAACAGTACAATTTGGCTGCGTCTTTGGTATCTTTTTGGCCACCGTAGCTCGCCCCTTGGCCTCCCTCCCTTTCGCCATCTTAGCCCCCCTCTCAGCCCTCTCCTTGGCTTTCCTCTCTTTTTCTAGCTTATTTTTGAGGGCATTTGCGGCTCTCTTGATCTTTCTTTCTAATTTCGCCTCCTCCTCAGCTGCTTTCAGTGCTTCCTTTTACTCCTGATATTCCCTAGCCTTAACTACCTGCGCAGGAGAGTAGCAATCGACAATACCCTTATTTGGCTGGCCACAAAGATTCAGACAAACTCCTTATTGACCCTTTTTCTTTTGGAGATCAATGGCCTTAAATAAGCCTCGGTTTTGGTATTATAGGCAAGCTACTTATATAGAGAGGTATAAGGTAATAGCAAAGATGTCACGAGCACAAGATCTAGGGCCTGGAAGGTATGGTTAGACTGTCTCTATTCCGACGATTCAAAGCTAAAGAGAGAAGAGGATCTCGAAGGAGCCTCGGATCTAAATAATCGCGAGCTACGCACGGGCCCACGTACTAGCTTAAGGTCGGGGTCACGTGTAATCATCAGGTAACTACAGATGCCAGATGCCTAGCTAGCTCTAGTCTAACCCCTACTAGTACCGTATATTGTAATAACCGTAACATTACCCCCCCCCTCGAAGTAAGCTCGTTCCCGAGCTTCGAAAGTCCCTGTCGAATTCTTAAGTTGCAGTTACATACGAAAGGCCAGGGCCTTTTATATATAACTTACAAGAATTTCCGTCCGTATTATACGGTTCCGGTAGCATCTTATTCTTAGTATAGTCTAACTAATAGGGGAGATTCTGGGGCGATCCTGGCTATTCGGGGTTCTTATTATAGAAGCTCTAAAGAGCCAGAGCGCTATTACTTAATAAGAATACAGAATACCACTCCGGATCTGGATTTTATCCTTTTCACTAGACTCGATACTTGAGCTTCCTACAGAGCAGCCTTACTACTAGTACCTCTTGAACTTTATATTCCGTTTCCCCGTCTTATAGTTCCAATAGCAGAGGCTCCGGATTTGCTTATCCGGAAAGGGGATTATCTGGGTCCTTATATAGCTTCTCTATATAGAATACCGGATATATTCTTATAGATTCCGGAAGCTTAAGCCTAAAGAAATATCCTACTTATTCCAGAATTTCGTATAGTTCTTCTATTTAGTAAGCCAGCTTGCGGCTCGGATAGTTATTCTTCTAGTACTTGGTAGTAATTTACACCTTATCTCCTACTTTAAAGTCTACTAGTCAGTAGTACTTATTAGCTTAGATAGTATAATACTCTTATACTTATATTATATTCTCTTATATCTTTTACTATAATTTATAGAGTCATACTATTAGGGCCTTTACTTCTTGCCTATTTAGCTCTTCTTTCGGAATATCCGATTATACTTGAATTTCCTAGTTAAATAATATCTATAGCTTATAGCCCTTCTCTATAAGAAATAGAAATTGGCCTATAGTCTTATAGACCAGAGCTACCTACTAGTAATTAATTATTACTATCTATTTATCCCAATTATTCTAGTAGTAATTTATATAGAGATATAGCTATTAGTTAAAATACTAGTTAATAATCTCTATCTAGCTATTGGTTTAGGGATAATTAATAGTTAATAACTTAAGCTTTATACTAATATATTTATAGAACTTATTCCAGAAATCCGATATAAACTAGAGGCCTTAATTAGATACTATAGTTTCCGGAATACCGACTTAGCAAATTATATAGATAAGAAATAGGGGTATTAACTCTTTAATTATTACTATATTTCGGATAGAAATTATAATAAAGCATTTATTTAGGCAGTTAATAAAAATTATTACTATATTATACTTATTTCTATTCTCTAGGCACTTCTTAAAATCCACTAATATATATTACTAGAGGCAGTCAGAAACTAGTAATAGATATAAGAGCCCTAGCTTCTTATCTCTAGAAATATAAAATTATTAGTAGATATAGTAGTTATCCCTATACTAATTAATATCTATACCTTAGCCTAGCTAGTAATAGCGGGCCTAAAGAAGCTATTAAAGCTTGGCTTATTCTAGATATTCTATTAGAGGCTATATATATATCTCCTAAATAAGGGCAATATATAGAGATATTTCGGGTATTATTATACTATTAGATATAAATAGTTTACTATATTATAAAAGAAGGCCGTCTTATAATATTTAAGTGCCTTCCTTCTTATTTCTTGCCTTATTCCGTAGCTTTTCTAGCTCTAATAACTCTCGGTTCTTATTTAATAGCTTATTTACTAGCTAGATACTATTATACTAGATTTCTTCCTAAGCCTAGCTTACTAAAGCCTTAATTAGGGCTAACTAGAGATCCTATATAATATTATTATTAATCTTTTATTATAGGAAGAGAATTTAGGTTTAATAGGCTACTATTACCTTATTCTAGATAATTATATCCTTATACTTTCTATTTAGAGTATTTACTTATTTATTTGACTTGCCTACCTAATATATAAGCTTGAAATAGTAGCGGAAAAGATACTTTACCTAGTAAGCTTATTTTACTAAAAGCTTCTTTATAGTTATAAAGTACTTAAAGGCTTAATAGTCTAAATAAATTATAAAGGGTGCCTCCTATAGACCTTCTAGCTCTACTTGCTATTTGGTTAAAAAGAGAATAATAGTAAATATCTCTTTATTATAGATATTATAATTCAGTTCTACCGGCTATATAGTCTTAAAAAAGAATACTACCAGGTACCAGAGTTCTATCTAAAGGTCTTATTATAAGAGAATACCGGCTATAACTCTATTTAATATATTTGTCTTAACTATAATAGAAAGATTCGGATTATAGTAATATAGAATCGGTACTAAGAATATAGCTTATTTTAGCTTTATAAAACCTTCTTAATACTAATCTATCTATTTAAACGGAACTCTCTTATATATTAGAGCTATTAGAGGCTTTACTATATAGCTATATTCTATAATAAAGTACTAATAAAAGTTATAAAAACCCAGAAAGCCTTATATTTCCTTAACTATCTTTAGTAATTATTAGTTTTTAATAACCGCTATTTTATCTAAATCTACTTTAATATTTCTAGTAGAAATAATAAAGCCTAGATACTTTATATAAGTAACTTTAAACTCGGATTTCTTAATATCCGCTTAAAGGCCAGTATTCTATAACTACTAAAGAACTTTTTATATATAGTCTTTATACTTTAGGGAATTATCCGAATAAATTAGAATATTATTTAAATAAACTATATAAAAGATATTAAGGTAATTAAAGAGAATATTATTTATATATCTCTAATATATAATAAAGCTATTAGTTAGGCCTTCCTAAAGGACTTTATACTTATAGGCCCTATATCTTATACGGAATATTATAAGTTCTTCTAATTCTAGATCTATTTAGATCTAATAGAATATTTACTAAATATCTAGCTTTATATAGATCTTAGCTTAAGCTAGCTATATAAGAATCTCGTAAATAAGAGAGAGAGGATAATAGTTCTTTTATATTAAATTATTTAGCTTATAATAGTTAATATAGAATCGGAAAGCTTTATTAGCTTTCTTTATAAAGAGAATCGGAAATATAAAAAAGAACTAGCTTGGTTTAATAAAGCCCTATTAGAGATTCTCTTTAAGAAAGCGCTTAATCTTCTATAGCTTATAGATTAACTATTAATAAAGCAGGAAATACTTTAGATTCTCTAGGCCTTTAGAATTATTAATCTAAATCTTATAATTATATAGTTAATATAGAAATAAGATATTTAATACTTTCTTTAAGAAAATATTTATAAAATTCTTAAACTCTTCTAGTAAAACTTTTACTAGCTACTATAGCTCTGTCTCTTCTAGCTATTACTTGCCCGGAATAAACTTATTCTCTTACTATAATTCTAGCTTTTTATTAATCTCGAAAAATAATATTATAAAGAAAAGATTCTTCTTTTTCTATAGATTTATCTAAAAAGCGGCCGGTAAAATACCTATAATATTAACTAAAGGCCTTAACTAAATCTTATAGCTTTTCTTTAAATAATATAGTTTTAATATCTCTATTTTTAGCTTAGAAGAAACTTCTATATTCCCTAAGGCTACTTGCATTTCTCTATAATATTAAGCTTAATTCTTTTACTATATATAGCTTTCTAAGCCCGGCTTAGAAAGAAAATAAGAGAATTTCCTCTTTATAAGCTAAGATCTCTAGAACTTATCTATAGCTATAGCTTTATCTCTTCTATCTATATCTTCTTAATACTAGTCGCTTTTCCCAGATTTCAAGTTCTTATATATAATAGTTAGGATCTTATCCTAACCCTTCTTTCTAGGCTAATTATCTGGCCAGATTAACCTTCTATTCTTATAATTAATTAGGATACTAGTACTTATAAACTATTATTATCTCAAAATTATATTATATTTACCTAACCCTATAATTAGTATAAATACTAGAACCTTCCGTCTATTAATTAAGAATATAAGCTTAATATAGTAAGTAATAAATATGGCCTACTTGCTATTAAACCCTTTTATATTATAGGATAACACTAATTAAATAGGCTTAATATCTAGAAATTATTTAATTATTTTTATAAACTTAAAATTAATAAAAATATATTTATTTACTTTGGTATTAATAAGAGAAGAAGTTTTAATATCTAATTCATTATTATTAACTATATAAAGAAATATAAACGCTTTACTTTCTAGTAGCTAGCTTAAATCAACTTCTATTATATCTATATAATATAGCCCTAAAAAGAAGACTTTCTTTAGAGGTCTTTATTTCTCTATTCTATATCCTTAGATAGCTTACTTATAATAAATACCGCTAGCTTAGCTACTAAAACTTGTTTTATATATTCTATTTTAGGCTCTAGATAGTTTCTAGATATATAATTAAATCTATTATAATTATAGTACTTAAGATCTAAGAATTCGGGCTTTAGAATAGTAGGCTTATCTATTACTAGAATCTTGGAAGCGGGCTTTATATAAAAGGCGCTTTCTAGGCTTAACTTATCTATATCTTTATTAGCTTTCTTGGATATCTATTCTTTCTTTTTATAGCAAGCTCGAATTTACTAGTTATTTATAGTATAATATTATACAAACTCTATAGTATAAATAGCCGGGTTATTATAGTATATAGCTATAGCCTCTTAGAGCTTTCAGGTAAACTTATTATTTAGGTTATTCTTAAGGTTCTATAGATTAATATTTCCGTCCGCTATATACTTTAGAAATAGAATATAGAACTTCTAAAAAATCTAGCCCTTTTTTATAGATAGTTTTTTAAATACTTACCGAGTATTATACTCTTTATTTGGGTTACTATATAGCTTTTCCAGATAGATATATAGTTCCCTAATAGTCTTATATATATATTAACTATTCTAGTTTAAGTAAAAAGAGATTAGTATAAGAATATAGCTATCTATATAGCCGGATATATAAATAATCTTAAGGTTTTCTATCTAATAGATATTAAAGTTACTATAAAGCTTATTCTTAATCTGAATTAATTAATTATTAAAAGTAATACTATTTTTAGTTATATCTTCGAAAATAGAAGGGTTAGAAAGTTTAACTAAGTATCTATTTTCTAAAGTAGAAGAACCGGTTATTCCGGCAGGCTATATAATAAGCTTCTTAATAATAGCTTTATTCTTTTATAGGGCTTACTTAGTTTCTCTTAGCTAATTATAATAATTCTCGCTATAGGCAAGGATATTATATATCTTTAGAATTAGCTTAATAATTTCTTTATATAAAGCCTCTAGATTCCGAAATAACTTTTAGAACTTCGCCTTTAATAAGGCAGGTCCCTCTTCTTTCTCGGCTCTTTAAAAGAGAGTATCTCTCCTATTATAAGTATTAATAGGATATTCGGATCCCTTAAGAGACTTAATAAGAGGCTCTAGTTCATCTTCTAGTAGTATACTAGTAGTATCTCGCACTATAGCTCCTTCTGACTTGCCCAGTTATTCCGGAACTTGCTTTCTTATAGATCTTTGTCTAGTAGTAAAGTTACTAGCCTATTCGCTTGCCTGGCTGGTCCAGGGCTTTCTTGCCTAGTTATTCTAGGGCTTTCTTTTATTCTAATATTAGTTAACCGGTACGGGAGTAGCTATAGCGTATTGCGTCTATACTCGTTAAAAAACTAATTGGATAGGTATTATTTAAATCCTCTGCAGGATTGAGAAGTGGGTAAGCTTTAAATTATATTATAAGTATAAGATCTAGGGCCTGGAAGGCATAATTAGACTGTCTCTATTCCGACGATTTAAAGCTAAAAAGAGAAGAGGATCTCGAAGGAGCCTCGGATCTAAATAATTGCGAGCTATATACGGGCCTATATACTAGCTTAAGGTCGGGGTTATATATAATTATTAGGTGACTATAGATGCCAGATACCTAGCTAGCTCTAGTCTAACCCCTACTAGTACCGTATATTGTAATAACCGTAATAAAAGAGTTTCTTGACTTTGTCTTTAGTTAGTTCTTTATTATATATAAGCTAAAATTAATAAATTGCTTTTAAAGTCTTAGGTATACGTAATTCTTAAGTCTTTTTAAGTAAAGAGAGTATAGAATAACTAATTATCTTAATAATTATACTTCTATCTATTAGCCAGATACCCGATTTATAAAAAGTAAATTGGATATTATCCTTAGTAAAAGCTTTATTAAATGCAATCTTAAATCTCGGCCAAAAAAGTTCTTTTATTATTCTAATTATTTCTATTATTTCGTCTATTAATTTATTAATTTTAATAGAGTAATATATTAAGAGGGGTTAGAAAAGGCTAATATTGAGAGATTAAAGGCAATAGATTATATAAGGTAGTAAAATCAAAAGAATTATACTATATTAATTAGTTTAATTAATAAATACTATATTAATATAGCTTAAATATCTATCTATAATTAAAAGACGCTTTTATATTATATATTTGGGCTTGGTATAGCATTTAAAGACCTTCTGAAGCTATACTAGCCCGATTGCATTATTAGACTATCTATTACTTAAAACCGTAAAATATACTATCGAATCTGTCTTTACTTTATTAACCCATATATTTATTAAATTACCCGATTCGCCTTTATATATTAGAAGTAGTAGTACCTATTTTCCAATTACAAATATATATACCAAGATACTAATAAACTCCCGGCTTCTATCCTGCTTAGCTTTCGTAATTCTCCCTAAACGTAAAGCTTCTTATATTATTATTCTCTTTAAGGAATATCTAAACCCTATCAAGAATCCCTTTTTATCGAAATTATATATATTTTCGGCCGTAATTCTGTATTTTTCAATAACTATCGCAAGCTAGGGGGCCAGATATATATTAGTAAGTATTCAGATAATAAATATACAAAATAAAATAGAAAAGTGGCTTATAATACTAAAGAAGAATTAAAATATTTGGGGCATATTCGGTACCAGCTTGTAAATTATTAATATTATAAAGGTAAAGGCTTTTTAGCCTAATACTATAGCGCTTAACAAAATGGCCCACCCAGTTCTTCCCCACTTATTCTCCCCTGATTTCCTCTGCAAGATTCTTGACAATATAACTAGTGGGCGGTATACCCCGATCGGTAAGGTAATTGATTCGATGAATTAGAACCTCCTCTTGCTTAATGGTAAGGCATTGGTACCAAAAAGAGTTAGCTTGCTATCGAGTCTTCGTAAGGCCCCGAATATGTCGAGAAACAGCCGAATGCGAGCATCCATAGTAATCAGCTGCCTTGCTGTAATCAGTAAACTCTCCTCTTTGAATTACATCAATTGCCTTCGTAACACGAGCTGATTTGTCGATTCTAGCCATGGTTTTGATGCTGGTGGTGGGACGTGATTTAGCGTGTTTTTGGTCGGGTCGTGCTTTTGGTGGGGAGTTCGGTTATGTGTTGATATAAAATCCACTGCGGCTCAGTTTTTGGTAGCAGACCTCTTCGTCAAACACAAAGTTCTTTGGCCCGCCCCAAATAAGTTTTTGTAAAACGTATTCTAAAAGTACGGTGCAGTTTCTTCATTCAATCTAATATCACTTCGTATTAGAGACACCTATTCACTTGTCGTCATAGCCGAAGCTAACTGGGGCTTCAGATTGCCAATATCACCGAATCATGGCCGAAAAGACACCCGCGAGCGAAATCCAAAACCACCCCGTTACCGATGCGGAGGAGCAAAATGGCAGTCAAGCAGGATTACCTGGCAGCAGTCTATATCGACTCGAAGGCTCGATCATATGGTACCTACTCGCAGTCATAGCCTACGCATTGAGTTCTATCGGTCTGGCAATATACATGTCAAGATGTCCAGTGGAAGCGCCAGCCATTAGGGTCCTTCCAACTGGAAACTTGAAAGTGGACCCCTTCTACGCATCCCTTGCCCTCTCGTGTCTAGTGACTCCCGCCGCTATTTGCATCAGATCATTTTCAAACGATTTAGCTCTGCTCCATCCGTTCGCTGTGGCCTCGAAAAAGCAGGTGAGAGTGAGCGATCTCGATAAACTTATGGATCCTGGACTTTGTTCCCTCATCTGTCTCTTCAAATACACCACAACATCCGCTCTTGTCCAAACATTTTTAATGATTGTTGGCGCGACATTTGTTCCCATTGGTACCTTACTTGTGTACACTGGCACTTATGCCCCCACCTCCTTCTCAGACATCACTGTCGTTGGAATACCTAACCTTAACGGATTCTCCCTTAGCGTTGAATTGGGTGTAGGAGATGAAGTAACCACAGTCAAAACTATTGAACTGGGATCGATTTATCGGTGGAAAATCGATATATTGGAGATTGACAATCTGTAGAATGACTAGTTTTGACTAGATACAGGAGAGTGATTCCATAAAAAACAGAGGGAATGGGTTCCCTAGCTATATTCCTGATTCCCAGCCCACCATGTGATTTACCCCGCACTTACTTGGTGGTGGGAACGATTTACCAATCTGATTCCTGAACGTACGTTTAAGGAACGTAATCGAATGGCGATACTAATAAACGATTGGTGTGCTCGTACGTAAGTAATACCCAATAATCGGACGAACTGAATTAGTGATTGAACCTGGAGTGGAAGGAATGGATGCTAGCCAAGCTAGCTAGTTCAACAAAAACACCAGATGCCTTCCTCCCCGCCAACACGGAGGTATTCACGGGACTTATCATCCGACAAGCTGGTATTGTCACCCCGACAAGCCCTCGGCTGGGCCCGCAGCCTACGACTAATCTAACCTACGTCGAGGGTGCATGGTACGAAGGAATCGTGACCTACTCCTGGAAATCTGGCTGCAACTACACAGAAGACATCACGTTTGCAATTGACAAGTCCGGAAATTATGGAGACGGGACTTTCAACATTACATTTCCTAACGGCCATCAGGTAGTGAACCAGGATCCACTAATTTCAGGTCCCTACATGACCAATATCACCTCAAGCAGCAACATCACCACCACATACTACGCAGTGATAGGCGATACGTCGCAATTCGCCAACGTAACCCAGGCCCAAGCTGCAGGCGCAATCCAAGTCATAGACAGCTCGTTCTTGATCTCCCGCGTAGCATGCACGCCCACCTTCAATTGGGAACTAAGCACCTGTCAATGGAAAAACAACTCTATGACCTCTTGCTCCCCTGCTCCAAACACCAACACCACCGTCATCGACAATGCGGGCCTCGACGCCCTTTCCTTCTACATGAGTGCCATTCCCATGTCCGCCAACAGCGACGACACGCTTGTGTTAGGCTACCCTACTCTGTATTTGGCCCTCATAGTGGATTCCGCAGCCAATAATGGTGGCTCCGTTTTAGCCATTGCCCCTCAACTGTCTAATTACGATAATATGTACGGCCTCGTCGCGCAATCTCTCGCGATCCTTACGACCTCGGGGTACTATGGAGTGTCGAAAGTCCCGGCTTCGATCCCGAAACCGGTATATCTCGTACGCATGTATATTCTCGCTGTCGTGGTCGCCATCCTAGTGCTCGCTCCCCTCCTCACAATATTAATCCTATTGTCAAATTTGCGGCATCAGATCCCCCTGCGCCGAGCGACGTTCCTTACTGTTGCAGTTGCCGTAAGAGGTCCTGGTTGGGATAAGACTTTTTTTGGGCTTTGTGTTATGGGACATGGGAAGTTGGTGAAGAAGTTTAAGAGTTTGAGTGTTATGTTTGGTGTTGATGTTGACACGAGCAGTCATGTGGGATTTGCGAAGAAGGTTGATCCGATTAAGAAGGAGGATTTGTATACTGGGGTTGAGGGAATGGAGAGAAAGGAGAAGTAGAACCTGTGAAGGGGTTTTCCTTCACTCATTACCGTTCTACTATTGCATGCTCTGACATTGTATCTTTTAAGAGGAGGTACAAATAATAAGCTGCTATGCCCTGCTTGTGACGGTATTTGAGAACTTCACAGTATTTCCCCCAGTTTTTCCTGCCATCTACGCAAATGCGAGGCGCAAGAGACCAAGACCCAGAATGCGATCTAGGCCCAAGTTGTCGGGTCTCGAGGAAGGCTCGGAGGACAAAACTCGAATCTCGTTGCGAGAAGCGTCGAAAAAGTACCTCTAGAAGAATCATCAAGGCCCTGTATATCAAGGTGTCGATGAGAGACATGGTGACAGCAAATTGATAATTGACCGCAAAGTTCATACATCTGTGGGAGTTGGAAATGGATCCTTGACCCATCAAGCAAAATCCGAAACACTTTTCGACGCGAATTTCGGTCCTCGAGCCGTTGGCTTTCCGGTCGGCAAGCACTTGCCCACACATTGAACCAGTTAATATATGCTGGGAGGGGTTTTTATACTGTCCCAAGCAAGCGGGCCTGACGAATGGCCAGAGCCCAGACCGAGGGAGTGTTGTAAATCTAGGACGTACTGTGCGTACTTGATCTTACTACTCTCTCACTCTCCTTTCATCCTCTCCCCATCGTTCGCTTCAACATCACGTCCCTGCTTCTTACCCATCCACCTTCTCCACGGCAGCAACATACTCCCCACCCAAACACACAGCACCAACAGTGTCAACGGAATAGCAACCGCCCAATAATACTTAAACCCATCTTTAAGAACCGGAAGATCACCGCCGTCCCAATTAAAGAATGGCATCGCATAGAGAGCCTATATCATTAGTTAAGATTCTGCTCATTCCCCTTTCCTGCAATTCGAGAAAATGGGGTATTAGCAAGAGAGGAGGGGAAGGGTGGTACATACAGCGAGGAATGTCCCGGGCAAGAAACACATAGTCAGCACAGCAATAGCCTTCATTGCCGAGCTATCTTTCTTGCTTTCCCTCGCGATAATGGTCGTCGTTTCCGCGAGCGAGAGATTGACTTTTGAGTCTTTCTGCACCATGAATTGGTAGACCTGCCAATATTAGTCAGACACTTAATTCAATCCTTGAAGGAGAAGAAGGGATAGGAGGGTTGAAGGTTGACATACGACCGCAATCTGTGTCTGCAGCCTCTGATTCTCGAATTCGGCTCGATGGATAAAATTATGGCATGTATTTGCATGATAGGCGATTAACTCCTTTAACCTCGCTCCTTCTTCCTTCAAGTCTCGAGCCCCCTCATTCCCCGCGTCGCAATTGCGGAGGAAGTCAATCTCAGCCTTCACGTTCTCAAGAACAAGAAGATTCGCTTTGCATCTCCAGATCTCCATGTTTAGCCACCTAGACGCGAAATTCAACTGCTTCGTCGCAGACGGGAAGTCGAGTGCAAGAGGGTCTCCCACCGCAAGATCAACCCACTCATGCTGTCCGGCTGCACGCTCTAGGCCATCAATTCGTTGGGCCGCGGACTGGATACGCGGGGCTGAGGACTCGACACTCAGTTCTGCTATGAGTACGGGGAGGTAGAGTGGGTGGGGTGCCAGTGAGGGGTTGTTGGTGAGTGTTTGAATGATGGTGGAGTAGGGGGAGGGCACATCGTAACGGGGTTTGAAGAGGAGGAGGGCGTAGGTTAGATTTTGTTGGGGAGAGTAGCTGGTGGATATGTGGTACTGGCCGTCGCCAAAGAGGGCTACTTTGTGGACGAAACCTGGGCCTTGGTTCGATGGGAGGCCGTTGGATAGTAAAGGGGGGATGAGACTCACAGGTTGCGGGGGTGAAGATGTATGACCCTGAGGGAGAGCACGAGAACTTAAAGGAGCGCGATAAAGTGGTTGTCATTGAGGGAATGAATTGGGAGGGGAGTTGGAAGTGTTCGGAGATGATGTGGAACTTCTCTTCTGCGAAGGGGAGGAGACGATAGCTATTTTCAGACTCGAAATCGCACTGTCCAAGTCTGTAAAGGTCAGCCACCATGATATTTTGAAGATTAGATATGCGCTTACAATAGTCTGAGGCCGCCAGTGAAAATTTCAGTTGTGCCTTCAGAGTCTGCTCCTTGCCCGGTGACATCCTGGTCTTATGAGTAAGGCACCAATGAATAAGGAAGGGATATAACCTTAAACAGCCAGTCTTCTAACGACGAATCGTCTAGATCCCCACTCGAGGTCTTGACCACTGTACCATTTGAGGCATCATAATTCAGAATATCGAAGTAGAGGCAGTTTGTCTCGAGGCTAAACTTGGTCCCCCGCTCGAAGGAAGGATATCCATACTCCAAGTCTCCGCGATTGAGATCAATTCCCATAGTAATCGGCCGTGATATGTGACAGAGGCTATCGTCAAGAGAATTGTCGGTGGAGGCGTGGCCGTCTTGAAGCCTCGTTCAACTTGGGGTGTATGCCGTCTCTCAGCCGCAGTTGCAGGGGTCGAGATGCAGCCTTGCGGAAAGCCTGTGGGAGGCGGCACGAACTCCTTCGCCAACGGCATTCAAAGATCACTTGATCATGCCAAAAGGCGTTGGGCATCGGAGGACAAGAAAAAAGGAAACAGAAGAGTTTGAACTTGGAGGGAATTTTGGGAAATCTGCGGTCAGAAATCAATGTTGTTATTGATGCAGACGGACCCCTTCCTGAACCCCGTTATCCTGACCCCAACCAACCCTAACGCCGTTTCCTATGCCACTAGTATACACGCTGCTTTTATCTCGTCGATGTCCCATTCTCTAATCCTGATCACACCATCCAATTCCCCCAATCCAAGCCTTTCGTCCGGCGCAATGAAGGCACTTCTTGTCCGCACCAAGATTGCTAACCGAACAGCTTTGGCACACCTGCTTCCCACAGCTAGTGCAACAATGATTTCCACCATCCATATCAATATCCATCATCATATCGACGTCCATTGCATCCCCGCCCGCATCTACCGAGGGGTTGAGCGAAGAATTACAATTTTCACAATGGGTAGCTTGGAAGAATGCATTCATTGCGGAAGTTGTAGATGGTGTATTTGCTGATGACGAGGCATTACTCGATGGGGATGATTGGCGCAGAGATGACGGAATCGCCCAGAAGGAATGCAGTGTCGATTGCTGCGTCGACTGATTGCTCGCAGGGAGAGATTCGACTGGTTGTTGTGGTTGAAAGGGAGTAGGGGCTTGGAATTGAGATTGGGGAGTTTGTTGCGCAGAGTAGAGAAGGGATAATGTGTGTTCTGCAGATGGAATTAATGCCAGGGACTGGGCTGACGGGAAGGAGGGTCGCATACGGTGGACGTCGGATTCCGCGGGTCGGTTGTCTCTGTGTCTCTTCCTGGTTCTCGCTGAGAAGAGAGATGGCTGTGAGATTGAATGATAGCTGTCAATATGCATCATGCTCGCGGATGGAGGTGATGAGAGAAGGGAGCTAGAGCTCGAGATTTCAGAGTCGGATCGCTTTCGCTTTAAAACCATGGTTGAGGGTTGTGGATGGGTAATTGAGAATGCCGTGGGTTGGAAATTGGATTGGAACGATGTTGCGAGAATTCCCATCTTGATTGATGAGACGCTAGAATGATGTTAGGGGAATTGACATAGTCAGCGTGGAGATGTTGGATGAAGTGAGAAATGAAGGAGGTTGGAGAGACGCGAAAGGCGCGAACCACTTTAGTGGAGAAAACGCGCTAGTCATTTCGCGACCAACCTTCTCCAGGCCTCACTCTACTCTTCAAACAACAACAATATTATACCTCAATCATTTGCTGTGTGGACACGACGATTTGAGCGGCCTCAATCTCTTGCTCTCTAATATCTCTTTTCTGATCTATTGTTCCCTGTCATCGCTGACTTCCGGTCGGGTCATCTTACCCCAAAACAATTTCTCCAATGAGGTCTTCGAAACTCGCTTTCCAATGCTATAACTTATGAGAGTGAATCGTATGCCTCGCTTCCTGCTGTAGATTCTTTATCTTCAATAGATTATCATCCGCCTGTATTGAAGTCTATCGTGGTCAACTTACCTTACAGAAGCAAGCATGAATGAATCCCACGAGTGTCTCCCTCGTCCCAAAAGACGGAGCTTAGCCTCACAACACCAATTGAACCTTCTCTGTTGTTCATTACCTGCCACCAAGCACGAAAGCTGTCGAGAAGCCCAACCTCTCGTTATCGAATGTGGCAAAGACCCTCCATCACAAGCACCAAAGCACCAAACCTCGAATCAAGTCTATATCCACAACATAAAGAAGTCAGTTGGGCCCGCGAAATAAACTGCCAAGCTGTTGGCTTGGATGCAACTAGAGCAAGTAGCTACAACGTTGTTGGCATAGCATATGTGGGACCGAGCATTGTACGGGACGCAATGCAAAAATAACAAGTCAAACAGCGCCGAGCTTGTGCAGGGCTTGCCAAGGAGAAACACATGCCATTCCACATCTTGTGTTCGCTTCACTTTTCCTTTCCGTTCAATTGTGCCACTGTGGGATATGTTCATATATTAGCGGAGCTGGACCAGCTCCGAGGGCAAAGAAGTTGGAAATTTGGTTTGGGGAGAATAGTTCTGTGTTGGTTCCGGTCTTAGTTAAGACCATTGTCTTATGCATGAATTAAAGCTTGGCAAAGTGGCTTTGGGCTTTGCTATAATGCCACCTGTTTTTGCCCTGAAGGCCTCCTCGCAGCAGGATAACTTCTTTTCGCTAAAGCTACAAAGGAGTGGTTGAATTGTTCTTATTTTCCTCTCGAAGGGCCACTTGCTTTTACCAACTACGAGTGGAGCGAAGGTGGGAGGAAGAATCGACTATTATATCTTTCCTGAGATGCAAGTGGGACCAGTACAATCTTTGATGAACGAGGCCATGACTAACAAAAACTGGATAATCATATTATTCTATCAACTTTAAATTAATAAAAGTATTTTTATTAACTCTAGTATTAATAAGAAAAAAAGTCTTAATACCTAGTTCATTATTACTAATTATTTTAGAGAGTATAAATGTATGACCTTTAAGTATGTGCTAAAATAATCCGACTCTCGCATGAAGTGGTTACTTGCCACAAGGCAATGATGTTTGCACTGGCAAAATTGTGATCCCGAGATGGGTCGAAAGTAACTCATGACCTTGCGTGAGTGAAATTGACATGGAAGACACACAAAAAAAGAACAGATAAGCAGCTGGCTTCAATTTCGACAGGAGTATGTGCACACATCATTACAATTAACTGATCGGGTATCAAATGCCATCCCACACTGATGCAAACCGCAAACCACAACCCTCATCACAACCCCCTCATGGGCCACTTCTCACTAACACAGGAATCCAATCTCTACAACCAAAACAACCACCTAACCGCCGCAACTGCGCCCCTCCCAACCCCCATTACAACCCTGACAAGCACAACCATAAACCAAAGCCACCACATAACGCCCACCAGCGCCCACTCCACCATCACCCAGCCCCCGCGTCTTAACCATCTGAACTTCCTGCTCCGTCTCCGCATCATCTTCGCGATCGTATCACTGATACTCTTCACCTGCAACGTTTGGCTCGTAACCAGATCCTTAGACACTTCATCCGCCTCATCAGCCGCTTTCCTTGTAAGAGGCGTGAGCGTATCGCCAACTCGTGAACGAAGAGTCTCGATTTTATCGAGCAGTTCAGAGACAGTGGTATTGCAGAAGGTTTCAGCTGACGCGTGCCACATCTGCGACGAGAGCTGGATATCTTCAGAGATGATCTTTGCAGCGAGGCGATGCTCTTGGCTTTTCGGTACAAGCTTGAGCTCTTCCTTGGCGAGGAGGGCGACGTCTTTGTACCGTGAGCCTTCATCGGTTCGTATATCTTTGGGAGCGGCTGCTCGACGGGAGATTTCTTTGGCTTTGATGCCGGAGGAGAGGAGAAGGGCTCGCACGCGGGCAATCTCTCGCTTTGTCATGGGACCACGGTTGACGGAGGTGCCACGGTCGGAGATGGACCATTGTCGCTTGCCATCCAGTGATGGACGTGTATCATGACTTGTTTCCAAACTAGATAGACCAGTGATCGGTAGAGCGTTTCGGCGTAAGCCCAAGATCGCGTTCAGACGTGCATCTGCGTCGTGAACACCATTCGAGTAACTGCCTCTTGTCGATTCGATATCCGAGACAGACGAATCCCTATGGGAATGATCCATCGCACCAAGATCAGGTGATGAGGTAGGAGAGGCAGACTGGACATCAATCCGTGGTGGTAGATCCAAGAGATGGGCTCGAGAGAACTTTCTTCTCTCCTCTCGTGCCTGTTTCTCTTGGCTCATTGATGGCTCTGGTGAGACTGGATCATCTTTAGGTCGTGTAGATCTACCACGCCGATCAAAAGGCGATGTGAAGACAGGCATGTCAAGAATGAACGATGGCTTCTCTTTCCGTGCTGCGATGGCATCAAACTCGTCAAGGGGTGTCCCAGCAGAACTTTCACGGGAGCCTTTCTTCTCTGACTTCGTCTGAGATGATCGCACATCCTCAGTGTCCGACTCGTCTGTAGAAAACCCCGACGAAATGCCAGTAGACTCCTTCTTCCAGAAAAAGTCGCTCACCCTAGTGACAGGGTTCTTGCTGCCTTTGAACAAGCCCCGAATCCCCGAATCCTCTCCCTTTCCTCGACGTATACTGCCAGCTCTCCTGCTTAGCTTCGAGCTGTCATCTGTCTTCCGGGACTCTACTCGTTTGATTGGGCTTCGTGATCGTTGTCGGTCTTCTGGCGTATCTGGACTTTCAGGAGTAGGCTCTTTTGAGCCAGAGAGGATCTCGTGAATCTCATCTTCACCACGTACACGACTAGAGTCACGGGTTCGCTCGTAGAATGGCAGAATTTTCGACCTGACTTTAGACAGCGGTCTGTGGCTCGGAGATGTATTCCTGCTTCTCGGTGGAGACAAATCCATCGCAATGCTCGGAACAAAGGCATACTCGGCTTTTGAAGCTTTCGTTTCCGGCGAATTTGGGGCAGTGGAATCGAATTCCAGAGACCTTCTTGGGTTTCCACCCGGCACCTCAAGACTCGCTCTTCCTGATGAGCCTCTCTTCAGAGAATCTCGTTTCAAGCGGCTGTCCTGCTTCACCAATGACGCGGATCTGCTGTGACTGGGCGACGAAGAGGTTTTGTATCTATCGAGAACCCCATTCTGTGACGGCCTTCGGGACTCGGCCGAGTCCACAATCTGTTGGCTTTGTGGATTATGCGGTATTACCCATTCTGTCTGCTTAGCTTCTTTGGCCAGCATCTCCATCATCTGCCTTTCGAGAATATCCCTGCCACGATCCGCGCTGCTTACCGTCCCACTTCGTCTTCTCCTTTGCCTTCCCATATCACTGTCCGAGGAGTCCGAGTCCGACCGACTACGAGACCGTAGAAACCGACGATCATTTATTGAGCCATTATTACGGTGATGAATGCGTGTAGCATCACGAACGTCCCGCAACTTTTGCCGTGCCCTCGATGCTGGGCTATCGTATGCCTTGTCGGAGTCAGGCTTGACTGACTTGAACTCTGGCAATTTCGTGTCTATGCGGAGGTTCGGTTCGGGCGTCTCTTTCTTGACGACAGCTGGACTAGGTGCCATTTTCGGCTCTGGCTCCTCACTTCTTCTTGAAATTGGCCTTCTTAGCTCCGTTCGTTGGGGAAAGATTATTCTTCCATGATGATCCTCAATGAGTTTCTTGTTGTCATCTTGCTCCAGCCAGAAAATATCAGCAATCATATCTGCCGGATTGGTGACCCAGTCTATCCTAGGACGCCTGATCTTCGCGCTCGTAGTTTGAGTCTTGCCGGCTGATGGAGGTGAAGTGTGAGGAGACGCTGCATCTTCAGCAGTTTTGGGGAATGCAGGTAACATCAAGCAGTCTGCGGCTTGATAATCGGCGGAAATTGCTTCCTTTGTTACATCGTCCACCCAAGACATGACCCTGAAAACATCTCCAAATCCTTGCGCCTCGCCATCTATCGCTTTCGAATTCCGTGCTCGCACTTTGCGGTTCCTTATGTATTGCAATGGGTTATATGGTCTGCCAAGTTGCCGAGCTTGAGCAGAGGCTGAGACAGACCGTGATGCCGCCGAAAATGTTGGTGAACCAGGAGCAGTTCCCGCTGTACTCCCAGTGTCAAGCCTCTCAAGAGTCTGCGGTTTTAACGGTGGAACAAATTGCAAAAGCCGACGATATTGAGCCATCAGTTCAATAGCACTCTTTGCCTTCTCTGCCCTTGCAAATGTAGATGCTGAAAAATGGTACTGGTATGGCCCATCTGGGTGTGTATCGAAGGCTGCTTGTAGAGGACTGTTGATTCTCTGCCCTGAGGGGAGTCGAGACGCTCGTTCTGTGCGATCAGGCTTCGGCGATATGTTTCGAGGCACGCGCCGTTGCTGTTGTAGATGTTGTCGTAAGCTCCCTCCCACAGTGCTGTCTCCAATACCTCCCGAAAGTTGGGGAAGCGGCTGTGACAAGACCCGTCTCGAGGCATTTCGTCTGCTCTCACTCAGATTCAAAGCAAGATTGACAATCTGCGCAGAGTCCACATCCAGCGGTGTTGCCGCAGCTTTCGTGGCAGAGTCCCCTTCGTTTGTTTTATCCGCGGCAGAATCTCCCCTATGGCCACTGTGCTCCGGTGATTCAGTCCCAGCGCTGATAACGTTCGCAGCCAAAGGGCTCCCGCCTAGACTGGCCCCGACATTTGGCCGCCGTTTCGTATGTTTCTTCTCAGCACTTCTCAGGGGAGCTTTCCCTTTGCTCTCATGAGTTGAATGTCGTTGTCGGGCTTGTACTTCCGCAGCATTTTCAACAGGCTGGTCAAATCCCGCATTCGAAAGTAGGAATCCACCACTATTCCTGCTTCTGTGACTCCTGTGGCTTCCTCTGCTGTCCTTTCTTGGCATCTCTACATCCAAGCTGCCCTTCTGCCTAGTCGCCTCGTCTGCCACGCCATCGCTGAAGCCAGAAGTAATGAGGCTATTCCGTTTGCTTACTGCCGTGCTACTCTCACCCGTCTCGGTACTCGCACTGCTAAATCGATTCGACAAACTCGAGAATCCCGTGCTCGATGTAGTGTGACGTTGGAGAAGGCTGCGTGATGGCTCGGCATTTGGATTGGAGGTCATAGTGGTGCTCTGAGCGAGATGCACCCTTCATTCACGTCGTGATTCGCGCACTCATGTTTGCATGGAGGCGGAGGGAGAAAATATGGAAACAGGTCACGGCGACGTGTTGGGTTGCGATATCTTCACATGCACCATGGACAGGGAAGCGTTCAAGTTTCGCCAGTGACATTTTCAGGCGTGTAGGACGCGACCCAGCTATGGCACGCTTGGTTTCTGGGGAAGCTTGAAGCTAAGCCTGAAGGAGAAAATTCGGACCTCTCGCTTGCAAGGAACACCGCGAGCTTCAACAACTCGTTGCAAAAAAAGTTGCAAAAATAAGACTGAGGAACAAAAGAATCGAAAGGTCGGAAGTATGGGAACCGAGCCTTAAGACCAGAAACTATGCATGTTTACTGTGGCAGAGCGGCTCTCTTTAAAGCCGAACCCGTTATAGCTGTACCCGGTGTAGCAGCTAGGGTGAGTATAGCTAGGGTATTATCCCATACCATACTCGAAACTTAATTCACGACTGGAGATCTCTGGAGGCAAAAATCCTTATTTGAAATTATTAAGAGGGAGCGGAAAACGGAGTGAATCGTGAAAACAAATTCGCGTATCGATGGCTTTACTTCATGGCGACCGCAGCGCGAGAAGTCGAGGATCAAGTTGAAGTCGGTTTTTAAAATGTGCTTCACACCTGGCTTTCGAGAAGCAGTACGTGGATGTTAAATAGCCTTTACATGTCATTGAAGGCTATCTGTCTACTGTTCAAGAGTCATAGCTACTCCGAGCCAAATACAGAAACTCCGCCCATTGATCGTCTCTAACGCCACACTTTTGCCCGCGCACTCAAACTCTAGGAGCGCCCTTCCCCGACTTCTCAATCTTTCTCCTCTTAGCTCTCAGCAACTCAGCCTCAGCATCCTTCTTCTTGTTACTATAAACCATCTTCTCCATGATCTTCCTCTTCTTCCTGCTCATCATCATCTTTGCTCGCCCGAGCTCCTCCTCTTCCTCCTTCGCCCTCTGTGCTGCTTTTTTCCTCGCATCAGCCTTCGCCTTGGCTCTTGGGTCGAACTCCTTTTCTTCCAATGCAACACCGGTCAACTCAGCTTCCAGCTCGCGTTGTCTTTGCAATGAAGTCGATGTAGCCTCGTCTTCCTCTTCCTCGGCATCGGAGAATCCACCAAATGAGTCTGCATCCTCGTTTTCTGAGGACTCGCCGTCTTCTGATCCTGCGACATCCATACCCTCAGCAGTAGCATCGACTTCGTTTTCGGTGAGAATTTTTGGCTTCTGAACAGCCAAATCGTCTTCATCAGAGAGGTCTTCCTCTTCGTCCATGTCGCTATCGGCTTCCAATTCCTCATCCTCACGCTCTTGCTCATTAAGAGGGGCACTGGGATCGTATTGGCCGCGGACCTTCTTGACGAATGGGCTGAGATGAGGAGGTAACTGGGCACCTGGGGCATAAAGATCTGGTCGCTTGAGCTCCTCGTCATTGATACAGTCCCAAACCCATTGCGGTTGAACGTATATACGTCCAGGTACTCTTGTGCCAGCTTTGAGCTTCTGAGCAGTCTGGCTGTCCTCGAATTCTTCTTCGTTTGCGTTGCCTTCTTGAATGGCTTGAATAGGAGGTCGATCAACGATTTGATGTGTAATTGATGGATCTAGCTCGTTGTGTGTGGATGCACCTTCGCCAAGAACTGCATCCCAGCCAATACGTTTGCAGCCAAAAGCTCTGAGGATGAACTCGAGAGGTTGTCGAGGAGTCTCTCGGGAAAGGAAGAATGTGAAGTTTGAGAATAAAGTAGAAGGGTCGGTCGCAGAATATGAAGGTTGAAGTAGAATATCTCCACCTGGTGCTGCAGGCTCGAACTTGTCGATTGTGTCGGTGCTCTGCTCCTCTTCTTCTCCTTCCTCTGCCAACGTCTGACTGGTTGCCGGTTCCTTCTCAGGCTCATTCAATTGTGACATGAGCTTGTCAATCTCTGCTTGTAGCTTGGGGTCAGGTTTGGCCGATTCTCTATTTGTGATCTGCTTTGGCTGCTCAATTGCTCCGACTCCATTTGCTTCCAGCGAAAATGCTCCCAACTCAGCACCCTGATCATCTCTCATCTTGTCAAACTTTGGCGGGTATACCAGTCCAATAGACGTGTAAAGTTTGAAATTAACAAATCCCAAGAGCGTCTGGTAGAATTCCACGAATGTACCCATGATTCTGAAATCCACATCTCCAGTAACCCTCTGGTTGAATTTGTATGGGACCAACCACAAAATGTCTTGTCCCTGAACTGTCGCCTGGTAATAAATCCCCTTGATAGATAAGAACGACTTGCGCAAGCTATTCGAGACAATCAGATAGTGTTGGAACTCAAGACATAACCGCTCGCATCTCGCGATCATCTTTGCAGGAACAGTCGGTGTGGATGGTAAATTCGCGAACAAGAACAACATGGACAAACAATCGTCGAGATCCCTTAGCGCGTCAATAAACGTAGGATATCTCTCTCGAATAACATGGTCAAGCGTATATTTCGTCTTCCCCGTCTTCTCTGGTCTAGAAGCATTGCGCTCGAGTCTCTGCGCATCATGAGCGTCTCCCCTTCCTAATGCCTTCGAAATCTTCTTCTCAAGCGCCTTTTGATCTCGGAATTTCTGCAGCAGCGGCTCATGGAGAAGATATTGGATGTCTTTGGTGTAGTAGAAGGTTGTCGAGGCGGTCGAGGATTTCGAGGCTTTCTTCTTGTTTCGTGGTTCTCGAGGGTAGATTCCTTTCCAGATGCAGAGTTTTCGGAAATCGGGGAGGCTGATTTGGAGTTTTCGCACGGCTTGGGTTCGGGTGATGAAGTTCTTGGCCTGGCCAGAGACACCCTTCTTCTTGATTTTACCCATTGTTGCTGATTGTGGTGGAAGTCAATTTTGGAAGCTGCAAATCGTGGGGTTGAAATCTTCCAGGAGAAAATGTTCGGGCGGGAAAGCTCAACGGGCAGAAATCTCCTCACCGCCTTTCGGACCAATCAACTCACAGCCAGGGAGGACAGAACGTGAGAAAGGTCTCGAGGCTGTGATCAATCCACGCTCCGGAACGATTGAGCGTCATTCTCTTGCTCTTTTACGAATTCACGATGAACATCGACAGAAGGAAAGCAACGTTGTTCGGTGCAGCCGCTGCAGTCCGACTTCTCCTTTTCACTTCCTTTCCAGGCCTGCCGGATCTGTTGACAGCACGCGTCGAAATATCAACGCCAGTGACCAGCTTCAAAAGATGTAAGACGTCATAGGACGATACTATGAATTCGAAGCTCACATTGAAGCAGTACAAGAAGGAGTCTTCCTCTACAATCACAACGTCTCACCGTACGATGGCGGAGTCTACCACCAAGCACCTCTCCTCTTACCCCTTTTCTCCCTCCTCCCGAGCTCTGCGACATACCCCGCCTTTACATACCTCCTCTACATAATACTGGACCTGTTGAGCGCAAATGCTTTGATGTGCATTGCACAGTCTGGAGAAGCTGTGTCCTCGAAGCTCTTTACTTCCCCGAGGAAGGACAAAAGATGGAGCAACTTTGCCATTGCAGCAGCGTAAGCTTCCAAGAACAAGGACGGTGTGCGAGCACTGACTCTTCCCAGTTTTCTGTTTAACCCTTTCACGATTGCAAGTTGTATAGGACGACCAACGAGTGTATTCACAAACTGCGCCATCCTTCATGCAATCTCGAAAGCCGTGAACGGCAACTCCTTTACTGCCATGTTCGCACTCTCCTTCGCAGCGTACCTCTCTATGTACCCAATCCTCTTATTTCCACCTCTAGCACTGCTTTGTTATGATCGCCGCCCACCGTTGAAGAATCCAGAATCGATCTACAGCTTCGTGCTTGGGAATGCCGTTGCCGTGGGTGGATCGTTATACTCGCTCCTACATATGTCCTCTCTCATAACTGGATCATGGGAGTTTCTATCCTCTACATACGGCGTTCAACTTCTGCTACCAGACTTGACGCCAAACGTTGGTCTGTGGTGGTATTTCTTCATTGAGATGTTCGACTCTTTCAGGAACTTCTTCCTGGGAGTATTCTGGATCCATCTCTCATCCTATGTCGCCGGTCTGACCATTCGACTTCGACGACAACCACTATTCGTTCTTACACTTCTTCTTGGAATCTTCGCAATCTTCAAGCCGTATCCTTCCATCTCTGACACATCACTCTTCCTAGCCATGTTACCACTTTACCGACACGTATTTCCATTGATGAGATACACGTTCTTGGCATCATCAACTGTCCTTTACGCAACTCTGCTCGGACCAGCTTTCTACTATCTATGGATCTATGCAGGAAGTGGAAATGCGAATTTCTTCTACGCCATTACATTGGTGTGGAGTTTGGGCTTGAGTCTGCTGACTTCAGATGCATTGTTTGCGGTGTTGAGAGACGAACTGGAAGTTGAGAGACCAGAGATGAAGGGCATGGAAATACGGCAGATATAGGCATGAATGAAAATTTACGAGGTTGATTCCGTCCAAACTTCAGCTGTTCATGTACTTCTAACTATCCTAGATCCAATCCCCCAATCCCGGCCGTGTTGGATATGACCAATCGTGAACATCTCTATCTCCTTCCAGATTATCTACCAACATTAGATCCTCCCCAGTTTCTAGCCACTCCTCCAACGGCGAAGTACGACCAATACATCCATCACGCCGTGCCTCCCACCTTGAGGACCTCCCCATGATAGTCGTGCTCCGGAGATAGAGCAGCAACTGCCACGGACGGTCCTGCCTCCTTCACATTCCGCTTTTCAAACAACGCCATAACACTCCTCTGAACTCGAAAACTTCTAGCTAAAGTGACAATCACTCAAGTGTTCGCCCTCACATTCTTCTCCTTCCTCTCCTGTTCTCACCGCCTTTTAACGCCTTCCATCATTTCACAGATTCTCCTCTTCTAAGCATCAGCTCTGTTCCACTTGTCGCGTTAGGGACTCATACGCGCCTTGACCTTCACAAAAGCAAGTTTTTGCCTCTCTTCTTGTCACGTTTGACAAAGAAGCTGTTGCGCTCGCGAAAGTCTTGGAATCGGTCTCTCAACCGTTCGCCCAGGGTCTCTCGGATGACTTGGTCCTTGTACGCAGGATTGGAGGAGTTCTCATCGTCGCTGATATAAGCGTTGCCGGACCAGAACTCGGTTACGTCTCTGTATGAGACTGTGACTTGCTGGGAGTTGTGTTCCCCTGTATATCTGGGAAGTCTCTCAGCGCCGGGATTGGAGGTTTCAGCAATGGCGTTGAGATCGGCGATTCCTTCATTTTCAGGGGGAGGAACACGATGGATTGGAGATGAAGAGGTGGACAAGTCGGCGACACCAGAGTCAACCGTTGGAGTATTGGATTTCTTGCGCGCATTTTCGGAAGAGCGGCGCCAGAAAGGCTTCTTGGGCGGTGGGGGTGTTGGGAGGAACCGAGGGTGAAGCTCTTTGGCGCGGGGAGGTAATGAGCGGTGGAGTTCATTGGCGCGAGAAGGGACGAGGAGGCAGGCCCTCATTGTGTTGGAATTTGTGAGGCGCCCAGGGCACCCGTTGGAGTGGGAGCGTGTACGAAGGAGATTCTGGGGAGGAAGTTGGTCGGGGAGGACCAAGGAGCCCTTATAACTTGGGTTACGATGGCATGGAGATGCTGAGCAGTGTGTGATGCAAAGCTCTGCTCACTTGTGGAATAGTCATGCTTGAGTTCAAGGGGCTTATGTGAGTTCGGTAAGGCAGCCGAGACTAAAAGGGGGAATGAGGGATGGGACCCATTCTTGACAGCTGTCAGCGTCACCACCTCGAAATTCTGACCACATACACATAATTGTATCTCCGACGATCTAATCATTAGCTACGCAACTGTGACTTCAAATTTAACAGCCCCCTGCCTCCACGTGATGTCTCCTTTCCAGCCCTTACCCTTCGACTTGAATCCAGCCTAGCACAGCCTCGCCTCACCTCAAAAATTCAACAGCCTCCCTCTCCTCCCAACCACAGTCATGGCCACACAATGTCCTCTCCCTCTCCCACTCTCTCCATCGAAACCCCCAATGCCGACCGCATCATTCCAAATTCTAATTCAGATTCCGACTCCCTAACGCCCTCCCCCACACGCCCGAACCGCTGGAAGGGCCCGCCCTCAACATGGACTTCCTTAACCTCCCAAGAGCGCGGCCTCGCCGCCTCTCTTGACTCGATCCGCAATTCCGACCTCTCTATCCATCTATACAACTCTTATGCACTCAAAAGACGAGCGCGCGATGTTGACAACGGGGAGGTCGAGAAGGGGTTGGGCCATTTGCCGGAAGAGGATATCGCGTGGGAACCGCCGAGGTACTGGACTGCTTGGCCCTTGCAGCCGGAGGATGTTCCGAGGGAGGGGGAGCAGGTAGGGCCAGAGGATCCAGATGAGAAATACACATTTAGGAGAGGAAAAGAACAAATGCCGAGTCGTGTGTTGGAAGAGGTTTTGGTCGGGACTACATTGAGGTTCGCGAAGGAGAGATTCCTGGGGAGGGAGACGGCAGGGGAGAATGAGCGTGTTGGGCTGGGAGGCAATGAGGAGGAAATTGATAATTTAGGCATGGATGAAATAGAAACCGCGGGTCAAAAAGCCGGGGAAGCATCTGAGGCTGCCGCCCGCGACGGGAATACTGGGGAGATACCGCAATCTGCGCAAGGCCAGGAGGAACTGGCGGAATCCGTCATAAAGGAGGCATCTGAGCCTCCGCAGCCTGAAATACTGTTAAAGGCAGTTGTATCAGCGGACGACGACAGATCTGGGGAGCTTCTACGACCCTCAATCCGACATACTCTCTCCAAATTGGACGAAGTGCTCATGGCTCTTCATCACGCAAGGAAGACATGTCGACAGTACTCTCAATCTGAACCGAACAGCGATGACGAGACACCAACTGTTGAAGAAGAGCCTACAACACCAGTTAAAAGACCGAAGGGCAGACCTCGAAAATTTGCGAATCTACCTAACCGCTCAAGAAGTCAAGCTGAACCAATTGACGACGCTGACCTCTTTCGTGCCAAAAAGACGCATCGAGGGCGACCACAGAAAGTCTATGAACGCCTGGAAGGAGAATCACAGCAAGACTACTTGATAAGAATCGCTCGTATCCAAAAGAAACCTCTCCCAGCCTTCGCACCACCACGGGAGACACCAGAAACGCCGGAGCCTGGAAGAAATGGCAGGTCGCCTGCGAGGGTGGCTACTGAAGGGGAAAAGGAGAAACAGCGACAGAGGAGAACTCGACCTCGCGATTGGAGCGAAGTTCTCGGTGCAGCTGCTTTGGTCGGATTCCCGCCAGATGTGATTGCACGAGCAACCCAGCGGTGTGCAAATTTGTTTGGGGAAGGTATGAGTTTGAGGACTATGGCTGAGTTGCCATACTCTGAGAAGGGTGACGATGTTCTTAGTCATTATCGACCTCAAGCCATGCCTGACTTCGGTGAGGGAGAGGCGATTGAGAGCTCAGAGAGTGTGGACTCGGGTAATTCGTCATCCGAGTCGAGGGATAGAAGGGAGCATAAGGCAAGGTCAAAACACCGCATCCAGCTGGGTCAAGCGCCGTTAAGACAGACCTGTTTCTGCCCAATCCCGGATTGCCCGAGAAAGACTAGGGGTTTCAATGGAGTTGGTAAACTCAAGAAACACTTACAAGGGGGTCACCAAATTCCGAAGGATGAGCTTGATGAGTACATCCTTCCGAGTGATGAGGAAATGGATGGTGCTGTTCATGTTGATGGCTTTTTGAAGCCACTGAAGCGGATGGGTGGGGCAAGAGGGAGGTATAAAAAAGAGGGGAAGAGGAGTCGAGATGAGAGTGAAGGAGAAGAGTTTGAAGAGCAGGAGGAGCCAACCTCGAGAGTGAAGCTTCGGACCAATGAGGCGTCAGGTAGTGAAGGATAGCCGGTGAGGATTTTTCTGACGAATAACCTCAATGATATCCCATGTTGACATGGTAAGCACAATTCGTTGTCTAAGGCACGCAAATATACTTTTCCCCCCTCAGATTCACGCCTGGTTTTACATGTTGCGGAAGTTTCCTTCGACGAGGCACCAGCAAGAGTATGATTCATCCGAACGGAAGTCAATCCAAGTGTCAAGTAATTTTCATACTCGCCGTCTGACATTTATTTCCTAATAATTAACGCTACAACTCAAAACTCTATGCGAGCAGTCCTCCAATCAATGCCAACTGAAGATTCAATCTCCAAGTTCCTTCTCGAGGTTGGAGGGTTTGCCACGGTCGACAGCACCGCGCCTCCGATCGATTCTTTGCCTCAAGCGCCCAGGTTCGAAAAGCGCTTCACTACGGGTCCTATCGGAACTTGATTGCAACTTTTTATCTCCTTCGTTCTGTTTGTTGTTTTTCCTCGTTTCGTCACGCTGGTGGGGATTTGGCTGTTTTTCGTAGTTCCTGGTCTTCTGGCTCTGGCCTTTCTGCTTCTCAACAGAAGTTCCAGGACGGATCTCCACCTCTTTGCCGATATAGAACGCCCACGGCACTTTCGCATCACAGATGATATGTGCTATGAGTCCGATAGTTTTGTAGCCGCCGCCTTCCGAACTATCCTTTAGCTTGGTCCATCCATTGCAGTGGCAGGCGATCTCATCACAGTTTCGAGGCTCATCTGATGGTATGTCACCGGAAGGATGCCCAGCTGAACTCTCGCCGATCGTTTCGGTACAAAGAGTCTGAGCGTCCCAATCAGCCCCCGAGGGGGAAGATTTGGTGCACATGTTGATGGTCTTCAATATCAATTATTTTCGGTATCTGTTCAACTCAATCGTAATTGTCAATGGTTGGAGCGTCTGGTTCTGAGGCCAATGGCCTTGAATATATTTCCTTTTGCTAAACAGCGGTGTATAGTTTGCATCGTAGAATATTTCGCCCTGGGGGAAGAATTCGTTTGCATGAGGAGTCATGTAATCTTACATCTGTTTGCAATGACAATTGCTGATGCAAGCGTGACTTCAGAGCAAACGAGCGCTGCCAACCCCCCCCCCCCCCCCCAAAAAAAACCAAAAAAAAATCTGTCAACAAGTATGAAAATTAGGGGCAGGAGTCAGTTGACCATCTCCATCTCTATAGTTTGGATATTCTGTCATTGTCCGCAAAGAGCTCGCACTATGCCTTCGGAAGTTACGCTCGTCTATTTTGGCCTTTTGCTCAATTGATGATTATCTCGATCACAACTTCCCACGTCACGATAGCCATTGCCTCACATGAAACGGTCTACTTGCGTTAGAATCCTGCATCTCTGTACTTGTAACGGTGGTAGAACTCATATCAGCTCCCTCGTTTCGATTCATGGCGCCTGACATCACTGGTGGAGTTTTCGGGGTGCTTTCCAGTGGGGTTCGATCTCTGTGTGCGCTCAACTTCAGTGTTTCCCGGTAGGTAGCTATGATCAATTATACGTTGAGCTGAGTCTATCGTTAAGCAAGTGTTGGCTCAATTTTCATCTAGGGCCTGAGCAGGGATACACTGGATACTTTCGAAGGTGCTGAGTCTTTCTGATGACGTCAAATGAAGTAGTTGTAATCCCCAAGTCACACGACAGTAGCGCTGTCTGTTTCTTGCTTCACCAAGCCATACCGCATCTGCTGTATTCTCGGATAACCGGCAACAGTTATTGAATGGAAACATCTTCCAGCTACTGCATCATTGGATGGCGCCACCAACAGATTCAAGGACGATCACGTGATGGCATTGAGCGACTTTTCACTCTCTAAGCTTTTCCAATACTTTTAAGTCCGAGAGAACATTGAGATTGCTCAAAAATAAGATCTTGCATTTAATATCAAATCAACACACATCCAAACCACATTATCTCAGAAAACAGGAAGCGCCGGCGTTGTGTAGAACGCTCTTGACGAGGTGTTGTCGTTAAAACTGTCGACAAGCACCAAGATCATCGCTCAATCTTGAGAAAATTGGTCTGATACTCAGTACAAACAATGCCTCATGGTTCTAAGTGGTCTCAGAGAAGACGCATGGGGGTGTTCTTTCTCACTAGGCCGTATTAGATATACAGTCTTCTAGCAAGAATGCACGTTTGGAAGACTCACGAGCGTTGCGGAGGCGAGGTATTCCCGTTGGAACAATGAAGATTGCCACCAATCTATCCAGCTCTATCCTCCTGTCCGATGAGAACCATTCGGCCGTGTTGAACCATTCCATTATTTCAGACTCCGTCAAGTTCCGCAAATGGTCCTCATTCGGGGAGAGAACGATTCGATCTCGACGAATATGTGCCTCGGATACTTTGGCCAGCATGGTATATTGGGGGCTTTCGGTGATTGGTTGCCGTTCACATCCGGCAGCCTTCTTGTAAAGATAGAAAATAGTGGTTGGCATTGCTCTGAAGTTTTATGAATCAGGAGTCTGAAGGGGGAGTCAATGAGGGCTCTGGATTTGAGGTGGAGGTCGATAAGAAGCAAGATACCGGGGAAGGGAGTGGGGTTTTATGTTCTCACACCTGGATTCACTTCAGAAGCTGGGATGAGTTGATACCGTCGGGCATGGCGAAGACGTGGTGTACGCAGACTCCTCCAGCCCACAATGAGTTTTACTTTGCTCACATTTCGTTCAGAGGATCAGATGACATATTGATGTGTGGCAGTGAAGTCATGTCCTGCTTGAAGCTTCTGGAGTTTCTAAACGTTTTGGGGAAGCACGGAGAACTTCATCACGGTGTGGCAAAAGACAACCGAACGCGACACATCCAGAACAAACATCCAGCAAGATTAATAAATTCAACCTATGCATCAAATATGAGTCAGGGCCCCTTGAACTGTAACATTCGACGGCTATAAGAAAGGTATTTTGCATGAGGAAAAGGCACACGTTCTGTAATGGGCTGTTGTAAATCGAAAATCTTATCTTCTATTATTCGCCTTCAAGACCATCCAAAGACTTCGGCTCCAATGGGTTCCAACACAAGAACAGGTTCGGGAAAAGGAAAGTTTGAATGCACGTTGAACATCACAGGAATGAACATCGCTGGCGAATGGAACGTCAGAGAGGTCCAGTTCTTACCCAACCAGCAAGCCGAGCAAGCATCTGACTCGAATTCTCGGGATGATGAGGAACACGCGTTGCACGACGACATGGGAAGCAATAGCACGGAAATTGCGCTGGAGCGATTGAATCGTCTCTCCGCAGAAGTCGACTACCATTCAGACGATTCCGGTGACTCAGGTGACTCAGACAACTACACTCCATTTCACCAGAACGCAGAAGCAGGTCCCTCCAATGCCCCCAACAGCGCTTCAAGCTTTCACTTTCCTTCTGGCGCAGCGCTGACCTTCAACAACGAGCACGTACCGGACAAAGACGTGGCGAAAGTGGAACGCTTCATCCGGGTTCTCCACTCCGGGTCAGATGAGTGGGCGATTCTCCAATACAACGGGGTTCTTCAGCCACCCTTCTCTGATGGTATTCTCACACGAGGGATCTTCACTTTGCACAGCGATGAGCTCAGGAGAAAGAACATTTGGACGGTTCTCGACATTGTGAAGAAAGTGAGCATTGGTAAGAAGTGGGGGATAGTTTGGAAACCATCGAATCCTGTCAATGCTGTGAGAAGCATCAATTCCTTGGACGATGCGATCAGATTTGCAGGGCAATCGAATCGGGCGTATCCTCATTTGAAGAGGCCGAACTCGAAGAAGGAGTGGGACGAGGCCTGGGAAGAGGCAAAACGGAAGACTGCCCATCTTGTGAGGCGTTACTGGATCTGCGTAAGTGGCATTTCTATCCTTGAGAAAGAAGCGCTTCTGATGATTTGCAGTGTGTGTGTTACCCACGGAATAGTAACAGAGATCGCCACACCAATTTGAACCACCTCAAGAACACTTCCTGTCATTGTGATCATATAAGATGCAATAGCTGTGAAGATGGCACAGGTATTGGATACCACGCCGTGCAAGAAGTCATTATTGATAAAGAGTGGGAGAAGAATGGGTGGTCAGATCACTAGGGATGAGGGAGATGAGGCTTGGGGGCCACAATGTTGAAATAGTAATCAATGATTTTTTTCTCACCATTCATCTGTGATCTGCAGTTCATGCAAAACTCCTGCACAACAGCGGCTAAACTTACACGCTGAAAAATTACATCGCATTTGTTCTAGCCCAGTCACGAATGAACCCCTTCGCGAATGGCGTAGTATTCGTGACTTACAGGTCTTTTCACGAATAGCATCTGCTGCACTAGTAAAGAATTCTAGTCTATTCTTGACTAGCATATGCCAATGGCGGGTGTGAGGTTATTCTCAACTGGCATATGCTATTCGAAAATAGACTGAAAAGAAGTATTCAGGTGTAAGTGTTTAAATCAATCTAGCTACTTCACTACTCACCCCTAGCAGTATTCAAAATTGGACAGCAACACATGAACAATGGCCAGGGATAGAAGAATCAAGCTTGCAATCAATGTGGTAAATGGAAAGTATTAGGAACACTTCAACGCTACTTTGTAATTTACGTACTGATTAGACTAAGTAGGGTAGTAAAGGCATTCCCAACTGGCACAGGCCCTTCACCAATGGCCTCACATTGGCGTCCTCCTTCTGGACTGGAAGGTTCTATTCGCGAAGGGGAATATTCGTGGTTGGACTTGAACACATTATAACTCACAAGCCCTACCATTTCCTCCTCCCTTCCCCTCCCATCACTTACCCTTCAAAACCTCACACCTCTCACACCGTCCATGTCCACAAATTGCCAACTTATCTCCATCAACTCTAATCCCGGAAACATCGCCCTCGCAAAAAGTGCATCTTCATCTTCGCCTTCAACCGCCTCATTAATTGCATCGCATTCGCACTTTCACGTCAGTCTGATCCCCACAACCCCACAAACCCCAAAGACCTCGAAACTCAGAGCAGGGGGGAGAAAGCAACTAACGCATTTCCACTTCAGCATTTCTTTCTTGTCGTGGATGAACACCCACTGTAATTCATCGATGTCCTTAGAGTTGTCTTTGGGCTTTGACTGACCTCTTGTCCAGCCTCTAAAATACTCCACCAAGTTAAGTGGCAGCGAAATCTGGTTGAATTTAGGCGAGCGGGGACTCCCCTTCGGTACCTTGAGAGAAGTTGTAATCTGGTTCTTCCTGCAAGACTCAAAGATATTTTCCTTAGAAGTGGAAAGTAAAAGACATTTGGATGTCAAGCAGAACCTGAGCTGCGGGTCAAGAGTAGCTATAATATTTGACGGAAAGATACTAGGATGTTTGACGAGCACATGAAGATTTGGGTACGGTATATAGCAAGTCGTTGTAGCAAGCGTATAATTTCTGGACACGAGTTTGGGGTTGGCAGGACTGGCTGAGTGTGTTGGGCAGCCCATGACTTTGCTGGATGGGTGGGAATGAGGTCCAAAATAGTTGGATTTTTGAACAGATGCTGAGAGATACCTTTGAGTCTAGCTTGGAACATCGGATTGAGGACTATAACTATATATACCAATCTTCCCTCTCCACAGTCTTCCATTTTCATGTTGATTCTGAGGAGGCATGAGATGAGTTCCCGCCGTCATATCCATTCGGTTCTAATCAAACAAAGAAATCACGGATAACTCACATTATCTTCTGAATCACCGTCCTACATCCGACTCATCACACCCAAACTCCCTTAATTTTCATATCACGTGACTATAACCTCCCTCAACTTCTAACTCCTCATCTCCCGGCGCGCTTCCACCGTTGACAGTCATCAAGAACCAAGTAGTCAACTTGCGAACACAGCAAGTATCGATATGAAGAATAAGATGACGAGGAGGCTGGACGATCCATGCTGGAAGAAGCACGTGACACGTGATCGCCAGGACAGACTCCGCTGTGGAGCCAATAAGAGTAGCTCGACTAATTTAGTGTAAAGTTTTCAAGTCTATTTTAACCTCACTTGTTCCTGTTCACATATCCATGTACTCACAAGCTCACTTGATTGCCATTTAATTTACATTCATTTTCCAAGCATTACAACGTGATGAGGACATTTATTAAAGAAAAGTAAGTGGCAAGTTGACGTTACTCATTTTGCGGCAATCAAGACAACCACTGTACAGCAGGCATAGACACAAGATTCTGAAGAGGAAAATGCCGAATCTTGCGATTCATTCGGGATCTAACGTACGGAAGTTTCGCCTTTCGATCCAGAAGATGACCAGCCCAGCCCAACCCAATCCATTTCAAGCCTCCCTCATTCCAGTTCAGCAACCTGGTTGCGCTCGCCCGCCCACTGCCTTCCCAAACCAGTTGGATTTTGGTTCGTGACTCTAAAGATATAAACACTAAAGTTCACTACGCAAAAATGACGCACAAGTGCAAACCACCACCTCCAAAGCCAGATGATCTAAACGCAAAACTCCAAAGTTGCAAATTCAGAATCGCTGACCAGTCAGTCTACCCGCCAATGCATCATGGCAGCGCTCAAATTAGCGCGGCACGGAAACAGAAACCTGGTACGTCTTCCCTGCCTCGAAGTCTTTGATGTACGCTTCAGGCACTACCTTCTCTCCAATCTTGACGATCACCTCCTCGACATCCTGATGCCTGATATCGAGCACAAATTTAGCGCCACGGAAGAGACGTGTGACTTTGATGCTGTTCCACTGTGAAGGCAACTGCGGGTTCACGCGCAGGCCGTGCTCATCGCCACGGAGACCACAGAGGCCTTCGACGAGGCAGCGGTAGACCCACGGCATGGTGCCTGTGTTGAATAGATGGCTGGACCGACCTGCAGTGCGTGGGAACTCGTGGTATGCGCCTCGGTAGTAGTTCGGGATATAAACTGGAAGCTGACCACGTTGAAGGTAGTCCTCTTCCGATGGACCAGGCAGCATCTGGCGAAGGAGCTTGAAGGCGCGATCGTGCTCGCCGATGGTGTACAAGCTGTAGATGTAGAAAATGGCAGCGTGGTTGTAGACTGAGCCGTTCTCTGCTGAACCTGGGTACTTCTGTGTCACGCGACCGACGTCTTCACGCATGCTTTGGAACGGAGGCGCAAACATGGCAATGCCATACGGTGTGCCAAGTTGCTTCTCCACCTGTGGGATGATCTTTGCTCGCTGTTCTAAACTCGCTGCTCCACTGAGAATGGCCCACACTTGCGGGTTGAGCCAGATGCGGCCTTCAGTGTCTTTCTGGGTGCCGAAGACCACACCATCATCGGTGATGCCCCGTGCAAACCACTCGCCGTCCCAAAGATGGGTATTGGCAGCTTCGTTGACCGCTTGTACTCCAGCGCGGTATCTTGCAGCCAGCCTGGGTTGGCCTTGTTGGTCGCAGATACCAGCCCAAATCTTCAGCGCCACTCCGCTAGCAACAGTCAGCCAGCCCGAAACACCTTTACCTTTGTACCCGACCATATTCATCGGATCACACCAATCTCCCTCCTTGATGTAGCTGAGGCCACGCTCGTCGCGCGCAGCGATCAACCAGTCCATGGCTTTGCAGAAGCCCCAGAACACAGTGTTGGTGGTTCCATCAACCCTCTTCACCTCCTCGTCCAGGACATCATAATCGCCAGTCTCGGCAAGGTAGACTTCCAACGTGACCGGCAACCAGACACAATGGTCGGTGTGTGGTACCTGATTGATGTACTTCAATTCCGCACCTTCTGCCAAGAGAATTCCGTCTGGCATGTTTCCGCTTGCTTCCTGTTGCGAGAGTGCTTTGAGGAAAGCTTTGCGTGTGACCTCTGGCTTGATGAAGCTCATTCCCATGTTGTCTTGCAGGTAGTTTCTGGTCTGGGGATCAGTGGTTAAGCGGTTCACATCGCCGTGGTAGTACACTTGGCGAGGTAACCAATTGTTCACGAAGTTGTCGAGATGCTTATCCGGGGTTTCGATGTGGAGACATCCCCGCCCCTGCTCGATATACAACGCATAGTCGCGCTGTGACTTGGCGAAGCCCTCCTCGCTGAGATACTTCTTGCGCATAGAATGAATCTCAGTATCATCGACGGCTGGACCGAACAGGAAACGGTAAGCACGCTGCTCGTTTGCTTCCAGCGATGTACGATACTGTACGGCGGCTATCGGGACCTCGTAGCGCGCATCTCCCTTCGATAGGTCGGGCTGATCCATCAGTGCGGAGGGGGCATGCAGGCCACCCTCCCCTTCGAATGCATCCTGCATACATTCCCACGAAGTGGGCGGCGTCTCACAGAGGAAGAAAGTTTTATCCTTGAGGGTCTTGTTCTTGAAGTAGTCTTGCGCCTTCTGGTACGGCGTGACGCTGCTAGCTACCACTCCTCCCAAGTCCTCCCGGTACTCGGCCGCCTGGTTCATCCACGACATGTTGCCGATGGGGAAGTAAGGGTAGACAGAGATCTTGCGGGGGCGGCCGGACAGGTTAGTGACCTTGACGGTCCACATTTCTGCTACATCATGGGTGGGAAGGCTCAGGGTCAATTCCACGTGGATTCCGAGATGCTCCACGGTCCATTGGATGTCGCTTTTGCCAACCGAGAAGACGAAGCGGTTGACCGGCGTGCGGCACGGCTCGTAGGGCGCGGAGAATAGTTCACCAGACTCCTCATCCTTGATGTAGACGAAGCGTCCTGGATGGTGCGCATAGTAGGCCTGCTCGGGCTGCATGAAGGTTTTAGCCTCGATGTTGGGCGCATGGGCGTACTTGGCCGGCTCGGGCTGCAGGAACTGTGCAGTTGCGTACCCGCGGCAGGTGACTTGGATCATCATCCTCTGGTTCCACAAGAATCCGTCGGCCTTTGGCATAGCCGTTGGACTGGTCAGTTCATAACGGTCGCCGTTTTTTGTTGGACGGAGGAGAGGGACTGGATTATCGTCTGCAACGTTCAATTCAAAGCGATCTTTAGCGTCCTTCCTGACAGGAGTAGGAGAGGCTGGGCCATTGAAACTGTTGGAGATGCTGCATCTACGGCCCTGGCCATTGGATCCATTGGAGGTAAGGGATGAACTCCGGTGGTGTCGACCTGAACCATTGGAGGCAGTCTGGTCATGTCCATTGGGCATGGAGGAAATAGAGCCATTGGACCCAACGCGGGCATTGTGAGTGAGGCGCACCATTATGAGTCAATGGATCACAAATAGTCAATGCAGACTAGATGAGATGGTGTGCAGAGGAGAGGTAAGAGAGTAGACTTTTATAGCAACGCCCCGTTGGTCGTTTTTTCCTCGACCAAAAGGTACGAGTGGATTTTCAAAAGGGAAGAAAGAAAACAGAGGGCACAGCAGGGACTCACGATGCGAGATCGCAGCTACCTAAATACAAGCGGTGAGACAATCACGTGGCGGGCAATGCCTGCAGCAGTGGCAGCGCCCACTACCGCCGTGGTGGAAAAGTGGAAGGGGCCCCCTGACGCGAGGATCTTCGGCTGGCTGCATTGGGCGCATTGGTGGACATTTGCGAGCCTCCGGTTAGTTGTGAATCGTGATACACCGAAATCCGGGCCGAAAATCAATGTTTTTTATATTAACTTCCGTAGCAGTGACATTCAAAGTTTTTACAATTTTATCGAGGGTAATCCTATGGACTGCGCATTAATTGATGTTATTTTTAAGGGAACCCAAGTGAGCTGGCTGTTAAAGAAAGTAATGAGGGGTTTGATTTTCGGCCCAGATTTCGGTGTATCACGACTAGCTGGAGGCGCGGGATATTGTTGCTTATTCCTCAACGCCGCTCGTATGTAAATTACGCATGGCATGGGGGTTCCCTTTCGCTTCACGCTTCACGCTTCATCATCCGGCATCTCGATGCTTCTGGAGTATGGCGTGATGTATTGCCACACGTGTTGTTCAGGCGCGCTCAGCTGCTCTCAAAAATTCTGTACGACGAAGTCATACACCAGATAAATCAGGGAATGGCCTCAGCCTAAAAAGGGGAAACGGAGAGGCTGTTGTCACTTCTGCCGTTTATATCTCTATGACATCGGGGCGCATACAGCAAGTGTGTTCCCAACCCGCCACCTGCGCTTGTCAGATGTCAGACCGCAGCTTCCGGGAGACCGGGCCGTCAACTTAGAGATACGGCAACTCAACAAAATTTGCGTGATCAAATTTCCCCTCCTGTTTGACTCTGCCATGAACAAAGAGTGTATTCAAGTGCTGCCAATTGACAAGTAAGTGGACGCTTCGAGACGTCAATATTTCTGAGAAATCTCATCTTCCTAGGTTCCGAAACAAATTTTCCACAACTCCTCGTAATATGGTCATCATCCCATCTTTTCTCTGCCAAGAAATCAACCGAATTCACCGCTCAATACTCTCGGACTGCGAAGTCGAGTCCAAACAGCTCAGCTGCACAATGCCGCATCACATCCACCTCCCTTATCCAATCAATTCTTTTTCAGGGAATATTTTCGAAACATACGATATCACAAATTCATCGATCTTGGATTGCAAACAATCAGACAATGCGGGGTTCGCGCAGACCAACATTCAGTGGGGTGAGAAATCAGCAAGTGTATTTTCCCTCACTGCCTGCTCACCTGGGAACCTGTCTTCTTTCAGGCCGCTCACATCGCCTCGGCTACAGCAACCTTAGCGCAAATCCTTTCTCTACTAATACAGTACGATTATCTCATCGCTTCATCATCAAATTCTCTTTGAGCTCGTATCTAACATATCTGAGCTGCACTGTCAGCAATACCAAGGTTTTTCTTCTTTCTTTCTCGCCTCTCGTGGCAACCTCGCAAGCTCAATTGGCATTCCCCTTTCCGGAACTCCACGGTTTTCTCCTGCCTCCATTCCCCAGACTCCGCGCCACGGACATCCTGATACAGGGGTGGGAGTTGCAGCATGCGAGACAGAGAATCGGAGATATGCTGAGACGCTTCTGGACACTGGCTGCCCGCGGTGGAGGTGGGTGGAGAGGCGTGGGGGGCCTTTGTGGGTTGAGAGGTGGGTATCTGGTGGAGGCCCGTGGGGTGCTGGTCCGTGGCTTGCTGAGGGTTTTTATCTTTGGGGAAAGTTTATTTTGTTTTGATGTTGCTGCTTTGTGTAGGTCAGTTGATCAGGTCTTCCTTGTCAAGTGCGAAGATATGGCATTGCGTCAATGAGCGAAGAATTGTACACTACATCTCAGGGGAAGAATGACGGATATATTTTGTCATGAACACTTTTCGATGTCTCGATGGTAGTTGAAATGTCTTCAGCCATCTTCTCTCTCCATCTAAATGAATCTACAGGACCAACGAGTTACGGAAGCGCAGCCGATCACAGCAGGTTTGATTCTACGTCGTCAAAGGGAACTATCAATCGGCAAGTAATGCCTACTTCTGCATGATTTCAAAATCCTCAACATCTATGGGATGCTCATCGAGACCAGAGATCAGCAGCAGCGAGCGCTTGCAAATTGCACGAAGCTCTCTTTCTTCATCCGCGTTCCCTTCATCAATGGAAGATACGTGAGGAATTAAAAATCATTGATTTAATTGATATTCATCAAAAGCAGCGCGATCTGAAGTCAACCATCACAGTCGTTTCTTTCTCAACAGGCAGAACATGATGTTTCCAAACCTGTATGCTAACACCACCCTCGTCCCTCAATCTCTCTCAACACTACTACGTGTCCAAGAAAACTCCATGTCCATTAGGCTGGGCACTCGGGAGAGAAATTTCTGCCGCACCTCACCTCTGCGGTTTCGTGTTTGGCCTAGGTTTCGGCTTCGGCTTCGGCTGACGATCTGGCTTCGGCGGCGGAGGGTCATGATCAGGCTTGCCCGGCCTAGGTCTCATTTCCCACAATGATATTCCTTCAAAGTCGTCTTCCACCTCAGGCTCGTCTGTACCTGCCTCTTTGAGTTTTGAGAAATCCCATTTTGACTCTTCCAAGCCCAACCAGGGTACCTCCAGGCCAGCTTCTGGGTCGTTGGCCACAGACTCTCCTTCAACTTGCCGGAATGGGCCTTGTGGTTTTGGCTCCGGTATCCAGTCCCCTTCAGGATTCATTGGCGGGTTAGTAAACAGTTTGAATTTCGACCCAACAGCTTGAACAGCAAGCTTAAGGTCGTGAAGTTTATTCATTGTCTTCTTCTCCAGCGAGAGTAGGTCGTGTCTCTGCTCACTAAGCTCATTCTCCATGTAGCCCTGGCTGTGATGAATGCTTTGCACATACATGAGGATCTCAGTCAGCTCTTTGCTTGGCCGGGTCGGAGGTTTGGCTGTCGGTGCTGGGTTGCCGGCGCCTTCTTTGATTCCACTGCCAGATCCACTTCCGCTTCCTCCGGGCAGAGTTTTGAAGAAGGGGTATGGGGATGTTTTCTGTCCGAGGGGATCGAGCCATCGATCGGCATCTTGCTTCCAGACATCAAGGTCGGTGCCTTCAAAACCGTTCCGTCGCGGGCCGGGACCGGGTGGAGGTGGTGGACTAGGGGCTGGGGTTATTGGTTTCGTGGGCTGGTTCGACTCTGACCAGGCTGTGAAGGGTGGAAGTGAGATGTCGAATGTTGGAGCCGGCAAGCTTTGAGCTTTTAACTTCATTTCACTTACATCAAAAAAGATCAAGGAAGGATGACATACCTTGCAGCTCGGAAATCGAAGTTCGTCCATGCGATTCCGAAGGGAGTCTGCACTGCGACCTTGAAACCCTTGTGAAGGTTATGTGGGTCATGGGGAGTCATCTGCCAGGAGGCTTCTTCATTAAGGTTTTGAGTGGGGTTGAGATAGGCCATGTTGGAGTCAAAGTATGAAACAAGTTGCCGAGTGAGCAAATCAGGTAGCACTTTTCCTCACAAGTAACTGTTTTTGTTAAACTTCTGAAGAGTGGCGGCAGGAATTCATCTCTTACGTTCTCAACTTATAGACCAATTCACTCCCCGCAAGTGAGATGTAAATTCCATGAATCTACACAATGAGTGAGGCTTCGCTGTCCAGAAGCCTCAATTTGTGAGCCAGTCGTGGCTCAGCGATGCTCATCATATGGTGTCCCGAAAGGTTGCTCATTTACAACGTTCTCTGAGACATGATTTGCACATTTCATTACAGATACCATAGTTCTAACTATTGAGGTCATATACTGTTGTTGTGGTTGTTCATTGCTCATCTTTTCTCCATGATTGCTTTGAGAAAGTTCGGAGTCACGTAATCACATGCCCCCCCTCCCCCTTTCGTCGAGGTTTACATAGCAAATTTCCAAAACGCAGTCTGCTTTATTAAAAGAGCGTGAAACACCGAGATTAAAATAGGTAGTCTTTATTATTTCTACAATTTAGAACTAGTTTTTCCCAGCTTGCTATGGAAGGCGCCGGGGAGGGGGGGGGTGTGGAAATGGAGATATGGGCCGTTATTTAACCTAAATCCTAACTTTTTATATATGCTCGCTAAGCCTTATAGCATGTAGCCCCTCGCTTCACCACTCGCTCGCCCATCCTCACCCGTTATTTACGTATAGTCTTTATCACCTTACCTCTGTTTACTTAGCCTTAATAGTTTAAAACACCTAGTTAGCAATCCTGTTGACAATTACAACGTCAAGACAGATGGCCAGTGAGCAGCATCTTGCACGAGGTATCTTTGAACTCGGGAGACTGAGCAATAGAATGAACAATTTGTTAATATAAGGAGATGCTGGCACCCGGCCTCCGTCGAGTCAGCCCAACAAGATCATCAGCAGAATATGGCGAAAAGCCGTATGACAGTGACAGAGAAGACGATGTATTGTGTTTTCATGCAATGATAAACAACTTCATGTAGAACTGCGTGCCCATCGTCTCATCTTGTAGCTTTCTATGCATGTGTCCGAAATCATGATTTGGATCAGCTTGCAGCATCTTATCCATATTTGCAAGACTTCGAATCATGGCCATTCCATCCATAACACCATGCACGTATGCCTCCCCAATTAGCTCATACAGCTCATCATCTCCGCTTCGCGGTCGAAGTAATAGTGGCACTTGTCCTCCATTCGGCACGCAAAGGATATCCCCAACCTTCGACTGAGGTGGAAACATACAGTACATACCAGCCACAGTCTTGCCAAAGCGCCAGCCTGCCAGTACAACATGTTCCTCAGGTATATCAGAGCCCTCTGAGATCTCCATATACCAGTTGGCTTGTCTTAGATCTTCTGCGTTGAGTCGTTTATCCACACGACGATCTGTCACGATGGTGCGCCAATACGCGTTGAGAAAGCTTTCATTTTTTGAGTCAGACCACGGATATGGTTGTGAGACTGCGTTTGGCTGTTTCGCTTCAGATGGTGCCCAAGCGAGAACATCACGAATCCATCGATTTCTTGGAGTCTCGCTCTCTGACACAAGGGTTATTGGGTTGATGAGTGCAACTGAATCAACGAAGACTCCAAACATCAATAGTTGAAGCGAAGGAGTAATTGTGCAATTACTGACTTGCATGGCCTCCATGCCTTTCATAGAACCACATGCGTTATACCTCGATAATCCTGCAATGGAGAGACCAGAGATTTTAGCATCCCTAATAATGTTGTCAGACAAGTCAGGAATCCATGTTGGCCAGTCTTTTCTGCGAGGAACCAGAAGCTCTGTCTCAGTGGTGCTATTCCCAGGACTGCTAGGGTGCTGATTGAGATATTGAGTTTTATCGACGCAATAGCTTGTGCTGTGAGATAACAATCTTACGTTGCCTTGCGCAAGGCATATTTTGGCGAAGTCGATTGATAATTGATCCATCGTCCTTCCGTAGTCCACATCTAAGTCCTTTCCATCTGTCGCGAGACTCAACACTGCATAGACTTTATCTCGTTTATCGGTTGCATTCCAGTCTAGGAACCAGAAGAAAGTGGAGAGCAAAGACCTGTTAAAAAAACGGTTGGTTATTTCTGCTGGCATCCGATACGTCCGAATGGTGCCCACTTTCATGGTAACTGTTTGAAGCATTCTAGGCACAGGGCCTGGCAAGTCGAATTGTCTCAAGATGTCGCGGTTGTCGTCGAGCACGCTATCAATACACTTCCAGTCCAGTGTATCTTCGCCACATACGAGGGTAAATTCGGGCGATAGTATCAGTTCTTGGATGATCCAGACTCTGCCCCATACGTCAGGATGTAGGATAAGGCTCTTCAGATCATCCCAGTCTTGGTCTGAGAAGGCCGAGAAGGTTGTCCTTTCGGTTTCAACCATCGATTTACAGGTTCTGTCATGACCGCTTTCACCATGGCCTTGAATCCTTGGGACGAGTTTCATGGCTCGACTGATCTGAGCATCCTCCGGACCGAGCCATAGCAGATCTCGGGTGCAGCTTTGATAAATCCGAGCCATTATTTGGACCTGTTGAGCTTTCTCAACCATGTCCTTTTGATTTATACAAAGTGCATCTACCCAAAGAAGACGGTCTCTATCAGGTAGTCGCAAAGCACGCAGCGCTTGTTCCAAGTTGCGCGTAACTGGCCATGGTAGATATGGAGTCTCGTCAGATTCTTCTTCTCCTTGATATGCAGTCAGGCGGACGTAAACTGGGATATTGTCTTTAGGAACTCCCCATCTGTAAGATAAGGCTTCGAATCCTGGGTTGCGATACCGCGATCGATTATGGACATGGCATTTGATATCGGCACTGAAGTCTATAGAAGGTTCCAGGGCAAGCATACGAAACTGATATTTGGCATTCTCTAGCTTTGGATAGTTCAAACTAATCGTAGATTCGTCCATTGTTGCGTTGGTTACGCCGCTCTGAAAGAAAGTGAGCCGTTGGAGGATGTGTTCTTTGAGCAGAAACTTACATTAGACTTCAAAACCGTTGATATTGCAGCTTGGAGGTCTTGGTCTTGAGACGCAGCAATACCTTCTAAGACGGGAATAGTCTCATTGGTCCCGAGCTCTGAGACTTCTACCGTGCAGAGATCTCGCTGTGCCTGCCGTACCGCTGGGAACTTTTCGACAAGAGCGTTGACCAGCTCTACGACGTCCTCAATCAACCTCTCGAAGTGGTTCTTTTGGTACAATGCCCATTTCACCTTCTGTCGTAGAGGAGTCCTATTCTGCCTTCTGATGGACAGATTACGCATCTTCTCATGCAGGGTCCGGTGGACAGGGTCCAAGTCTGTTTGCGCATCAAGAACCATCAGGCTCGAGTCGCCAACAACTGCGCAGCTCTTGAATTTCGCAGATACCCCTTCAGCGTCGGCAAACAAGTCCAATATTTGTCCAATCAACCCCTCAGCCGTTGGCACATCCTCCGCTGACAGCGCTGTCGGTTCCAAGGACTTGACAATTGCAACCTCGCCGTCTAGCCTCACGGCCTCGCCCCATCGAGAAAGCCGGAGTCTCGCATTATCAAGCTTGAGCAAGTTGGTCTGGAAATCCTTGCCGAAATTACAGCCGAGTTGGATGTATTCGAAGCAGTCTACGGCGTTGTTGAAGAGTCCGGCTAGAGCGACAGTGCTGACAGCTCTAAACGCGAGACTGGTCGGTTCCATGGTGCAGTGACGGCGCGAAGGTGCGGCCTGTATCGAGGATGGTGCGGGAAACCGTGGAAATTCGGCTGACGAAGGCTTCTTTGGCCGTTCCAAAGTGGACTCACTCGACTAGAACAACCGAGATGATGCCTCGGGGGAAGAACAAAGGACTCCTCTAAAAAGCCTTCGTTACGTTGCATTTTACAACGAAAAGAAAGGTGGAAAATGCAGGCTTCCCCACATGGATATCATTTGTGTTGACCATCTGTTTACGCCCATTGGTCAATACGAGTGGTTTAGGAATCGGGCGCTACGATTAGTCAATCGGCCTTCCGATTGATCAATAGGCCTTCCGATTGATCAATAGGTAAGGGAATACGATTCGCAAGCTATAGTGGGTCCCGATTAATCAATCGCATAATATTGAGGTTTCGGGCCTGAGGAGGAGGCTGAAACCCTATAGTTCTCAGTATATAATAAATATATCCTCAGACTAATGGCTGAAACCCTTTACTTCTCAGTATGTAATAAATATATCCTCAGACTAATGGCTGAAACCCTTTAGTTCTCAGTATGTAATAGGGGTAAAGACACTTCTCTAGAGCTTCTAGATATATATAGGGCCTCTGCTCCCTTTTTACTACCTAGATACAGTTTACAGTATACAGTTCACAGCACAGTTCACAGTACAAGTACTAGCTTTCTAAGCAAAACCACTGATTCTATATACCTCTCAATTACTACCTTACTTCTACTATGTCTCTTTTAACCCTTCGTTTATCCCCATCCCCATATACGCCTCGTTAGCGTATATATGGGCGAGCAGAGCAATATTTTGATATTACTGCTCCAGGGGCTCGTTCTTCTGGCATTCAGTTCTTGCCCTCCCCTATTACTAAAGAGCCTACTAATAATTGGTCCGCTGAAGATGAAGCTGCGTGGGATTAAAGGCTTGCTAAGGGTAGTAGTAAGAAAATTCTTACTGCTAGGAAATATATGGATATTAGATAGTGGTTACAAAATCCCGATACTCCGCTTCCTAATAGAATAAAAGCAGAGAAATGCTACCAGGCTAATATTAAGTACGAATCCCACTTATACGAGCTTTAGGATAATCAGATATATTATAAGGAATACTATAATACTCGCCTTAATAAGATCCTTCTAGCTCGCTATACTCTCTACTATAATAATGCCTTTGAGATTTTGACTACTATTTATGAGAAATTAATATATATAGGTAAGTATCCCTTAAATTTACTAATTTTTATACTAATTATATAATAGCCTTTAATACTATATTTGAGTATATAAGGCAAATCTGGTATAGCCTATCCCGTAATAACCAAGTTTGGATAAGTGCCCGCTATACTTACTATAATAAAGAGAAGGCTTAGAAAAATAGTAAAGGGGTTATACCTATCTAATCTCATTATCCTGGCGAGCATATAGTTCTAGATTTAATGGATTTTCGTATAAGTATTCTCTAAGTCACGTAATTTACCCCTATATTTCTGTATTTCCTGTAATTTTTGCAATTCCTGCATTTTTGAGCTTTTCTTGCAATTTTCGCAATTCCTATAATTTTCGTAAATTCCGAACCTTTTTATCCACACTTCATTAATACTATAGTATTACTAATACTATTATAGCATAATCCGGATAGAGAATATATGTAGATCTGGTAATTAAAATGCCATTTTTCCAAGTTTATATGGATCTGTAGGCTCAAGGCTAAAACTGCGGATAAAGCTACGGACGAGCTTATCAAGTGGCTAAATAATAATAAATATATCTCTATTCTAGCCTATAATAATAGGGGTAAGTTTAAGGGAAAAGTAATTGAGATTTGCCAGAAAAGAAGGATAAAGATTATTTGCGGACGAGCTTATTACCCTCAATCTCAGGGCTTTATTAAAGTGGCTAATCGAATCTTCAAGAAACGATTACGGGCCATACAAGCGGATACTGGTATCCGATTATAGATATAGTTACTTCCTTTAATTATATGAGTAATTAATACTATAGCTATACTAGCCCTTCCTAAGGGAAATACACTATATGAGGTCTGGTTTAAACGAAAGCTACCTACTAATTTCCTAGACTATAAGAAGACCGCTCGCCATATATATATTGCCCTAGAAGGTATAGAAGGAGAGGTTGAGAGTAATAAGAGTAGAGAGGAGAGCTTATTCGTTAATAAGGAAGCAGAATAAGAAGAAGTAGCTAAGGAGATAATTTTATCTGAATTAACTAAGAGGGTTGCGGAGTATATAAGAAAACAGAAGGAGAATATAGTAAAGAGGGCGAATTCCAAGGCTCTTAAATATAATATTTAAGAGATTATAACTTTCCAGATCCCAAAGCAATACAGATTCGGTACGGAAATGGCTAGAATTATAGTAAGAGTTCTAGGAAAGACTCCTAAGGTATATACTTTATAAGCCTTTCTTTTAAAAAAAAGCTAATTAAAATAGGGCTACTGTCTAGCTACTAAGTATAGCGAGCTTACTACTCTCTGGCCGCATAGTACCCTCAATAAAATCACCTCCCAATCGACTTATCCTGATTTACCTACTACTGGTGCAACCCACAAGACGGATAAAATCATTCTCCCTAAAGCGGTAGCAAAGGAGAATAATCGTAGTTCAATTGCATCAGTTCAGAAGGCTGGAAGGGTATCTGAGAGAGCAAAGAAGAGAGTGGCTGAGGAGCAAGCACGTGAGAATAGAGCTGGTGAGAATGGAGCTAGTAAGAATGGAGCTAGAGAAGGAGAATCAGGTGATCAAGTGGAGGGGAGGGCACCGAAAAGGGCTAGAGTGGCTACGGGAGCACCTAGACGTAGTGGGAGGCATGTATAATAGAGCTTGATTTGGATAGAGTATACTATTTTGCTATTCCCCAGACCTCAATATTACCCGATTAGGTAATCGGCCCTCCGATTGATTAATCGGGACCCACTATAGCTTGCGAATCGTATTCCCTTACCTATTGATCAATCGGAAGGCCGATTGATCAATCGTAGCGCCCGATTCCTAAACCGCTCGTATTGACAGATGGGCGGGATCACATCGTGTTGCCTGGAGGTCGAACGGTCACCAGACGCACTCCCTTTCAATAGTACGGGCCGTGTGCGCTGCGCCCGACAAGCCTGCAGCCTCGCGCGCTATCCAATCCGAAACGAATAAGCATGATGACATAGCCAATTTTGATGTGTTGTTGCGATGCAGGCGTACAGATGGCCACAAAAGCAAACAATAGAACTTTTATCGGCTTTCATTCCGTGAAGCTGAGTTCACCTTTTGCAATTAAGTTTATCATACGGAAAATTTCCCGGGCAATAGCCACCACGATTTTACAATAGCTTAATGTCGTCTGATAGCATGAATTCCGAGCTCTGTGAATTTTGCCAATCCATTTTTGACTCCGAACTTAAATTTGGTGTGTTAATCTGATAAGCTAGAGGTAAATATTAGATCAACTTCTTAAGGTTTTACTAAACTACAAACATACATTCTTTCTAAATCATTTGAACTTTCCAAAGCCCTTTATTGGGCATAAGACAGACGTTGCAAGCATAGTCCACAATACTCGACTTTGCAAGCATTCTTAAGCATCTCTAGGATCTCCGTACTTTTGTTAAAGTGAGCCCAAGAATGAGCAGTCCAACCATAGAAATTTTCAATGACATGAATATCAGCAGAACGAGAAAGAAGAAATCCAACCATTTCTTTACTATTGTGCAAAGCTGCCCAGTAGAGTGCAGTATTCCCTTCATAAGCATTTTCATTGATGTTTGCCCATCTCGGAACCAAGAGTTGGAGGACTTCCAAATTGCCGGCCACAGCAGCTTCGTACGGTGCACTCCCACATGGTTGATATGAAGTATCACTAATTGCCGTAAGGCCAATTATGTGCGGCAGTGTCCAATCGAAGAAGCTATTAGGCTCAAGACCTCGCATTCGCTGTAGAAGATGTCGCACAACCATGCTATGTCCATGCCAGGATGCCCATTTCATCAACCATCCAAATGTCCGTCTGCGATGATCAACAGATTCTGTTGTCTTCAACAATCGAATAACAACTTCAGCGTTCAGCTTCCGTTCCATTATCATTTTCGAGAGGATATGTTCCAGGTTGACTGCAGCACCAGCTTCCAGCAAGTGGTGAACAATAGAAGCGTGTTCTGCCATGCACCCTGCTTCAAGAGCAGTATGATGCAGCCCTCCAGAAGCATTAACGTTTACCCCTGCCTTGAGAAGAGCAAGGACGGTCTGCTCGTGTCCCTTAAACGAGGCAACTTGCAGAGGACTATCGTAACTGCCACCGGCCTCACAGTTAATAGATGTAGTCTTTAGGATCTCTGGCACCAGTTCGGAAAGGCCAAGGCATGCAATATAGTACAACGGCGGCGCAGGAAGATCGCGGTGACGATGACTTGGAACTAATTGTGGAGGAAAGAAACGTGTGGCTCTGACTCTTTCATCGGAGGTACCAGCAAGTAGATCCCGCATTCTGGTGGAAATAAAGACACCTGTGGGTGTACGGCTCGGTATGTGGCGGTCTATGACAAGGCGTCTGATAGAGATAAATTCCTCGGCCTCTGCACAAATAAATTCCTCGGTTTCCGGAGAAAAGAGTTTTGTCCAAAGCTCTACGACCTTTGCCGATGTAAGGAACCGTATAATGAGGAGCTTCAAGTTCTCAGGCAACTCGGAACCACACCGAAGGGCATGAGTAGCCCAATACTTTGTTGCGTAGACCATTAATGGGGCCACTGAAGCCAACCAATATGGAGACGGATTGACTAATTCGTGGTCGTTTCGTAACGCCCAATAGGATATGTACGCAATACAACTGAAAGATAGGTGATAGTGGGCGGTGGATGGTGTAATATAGAACTTCGCTGCCAGTAATGGAGTTTGCGCCAATCGTCCGGACGAAAGATATTCTCGCACAGAATAATGAGCTAGGCGAATCTCAGTGAACTTTCCCAGCGGAAGCAGTTCAGTCATGGCTTTGCTATATTCCTCATCTTCGTCTTCGTCATCTGGCACAACAGAAACAAGTGCTGATAAGACTGTAAGGATACTTTGTGGGTCAAAGAGTCGATCTTCCGGGTCAAAGGGCTGGTCGACGCTGATATCAATAACGGCTGCCTCAGCTAGTTCATTCAGATATACTGGTCTCTCAGAGGCCATTAACCACATCAAGGCTGATATTGCTTCCTTTCGATATTCTGTTCCAATGTTTAGAAGGATGCGCTCGTACGTCGCATCAAGAGTTGGCGGCAGTGCTTTGAGTGTACTCCTAACAGCGCTTGCTCTTAGACAACCTTTAAGAGAATCCAGTTGGCAAGTGGCCCATCGAAACCTTTACTAAGAATTAGTAATTTTGAGAGAAAGGGGCTAGGGCTTCTTACATGCCATGACATCCGTGTACTAACTCTTTCTCGATTTCTTCTCGAATTGAATGGGGCCATTTGCTTAGCTTTGGATTGTTCGTAACCTCGCTCCGCACATGAATCTGAATATCTTGATCCACTTCCGAGTTTTGGATGCCAAAGGGAGGTTCTGTCAAGATGTGACTTAATGTTTTGCTGATATCGACTTCTCTGCGGCTCGTGACGAGGAGGTGCAAATTTGGAAGATTGAAGTCCTTGATAGAGACAAGTCCTTTCAGCAATTCTTCGCGTTCCCCCATTCGAATTGGACACTCATCCAAAGCATCAATGATGATGAACACCTCCCCAGATCTATCTAAAACCGAACGGAGTGCCGCTAACCATACGTTAATCGGAGGAGCAGTATTCTTATGCTGCCTGTAGAGATCTAGCAAGGTATCTGGGATACTCGACTGCCGACTCGTAAGCTGGTGAAGAAGTGAGCGCATAATGTTCTCCGGTCGCTGCTTCTCGCTGTCGTTGAAAGTGATATAGAAGTAGGCAACGTAATGATTCTGTCGAGAAGAGCAGTATTTCAGAGTCTCTTCGATGATAGAGGAGCTACAAAATTCAGTTGTCAATTATCCCGATTTTGACCTAACTTACCATAAAATTGTCTTTCCGCATCCAGGAATTCCGTGAAGCCAGATGAATGATCCTTGTTCAGTTCTCCAGTCTTCATATGTCTTTCCGTGGATGAACCAATTTCCAGTACCCTCTTGTCGCTGTTTGCAAGCGGAGTTGTGGCTTGAACCGATAATATCAGAACAAGAAATCCAGTTGAGTACATCTTCTCGGATGTTCTCTTCGTTATGAAACGTCAGTACATTTATCATATGCTTTTTGAGGAGTATGGCCCAAACCTGCATTCATTGCCAAATTCATTGCAGCAATGTCATTAATATCTTTATCCAAGCCTTGAAACCCCGCCCGAGTTTCTTTTCGAAGGTTGTCAATGTTCTGGGTTGCAGCTAGATTGCTTTCAAGCATTGTATTCTGGATTGCACGTGTCTCTGCCAGTAGCCTATTGATAGAATCATTGGTGATGGACTGGCCTTGAACAATACCGTCAATAAGCGAGATTGATGTTTCCCTGTTCTCGTTGAGACGATAATCATAGAGAGCGGAAAATGCGAACTCACAGGTTTAATGTCCCCAAGGCGAGACTCAATTGGCCCATGAGTTCCTTAGCAATAATGGTCCGGAGTTTCAAAATGGTCTTCTCTTTCAACGGATACTGCATAGCCAGATATAAAGCTCGCATCCCTCCATCCCCTCTGACATTCTGAATTTTCCTCAGCTTCTTATCAAGGCGAGCCAAACCAGCCCTGCATGCCATGATATGATTGCGAACTCCAGCAGCCGCCGCTGTGTCCACTCCCGGTTGCCCGATTACATTTTGAAGCACAGTCAACATTCTAGACAAAGCCTCAGTCGATTCGCACAAGGCTCGCACATCCTCCCTAGAGCCTCGTGCGGAGCTGTAGAAATCGGTCAGTAGCTGACAGGCTTGGATCCCAAACCCTAGTATACCGACGACGCCGGCGGTTACAGATAATGGATCTGCCATGTTCGATTTGATAGACAGTCTGAGGTTGATGATATTTTGATCATTTCGTTGAAGCGTGCGGCTGAGGAAGAGCAAGGATATGAGGTCAGCCGACCGATCCACTGTAATTCACATGAATCACGTGAATTTACGGGCTGCTAGTAGTCTAGCCGGGCGACGGCTGCCCCCGTGACCATTGAGGTCGTTTCTTTCTACTCCAGAGTCGAGAGTCCGTGATGGAATTTCTTCTCTTAGACTGCTCTTGCTCTCAGTTATTCTGGGACGATTCTTAAATATTCCTCCGTCTCCTCTCCGCAAAGGTTGTATAGCTACTGGAGAACAATCGCAGTGTCGCACTGACATGGAGACGGACATGGATGAGGAATGGAGCCGACGGGTGGAGAGTTTGTCGGTGGAGGAAGATGAGAGAGGAAGGAGCGGCAAGCGTTTAGTCGAGAGTCGCCCTACCACGAGGAGGATGAATTAGTCCTACTTGCTCAGAATTGTCGTTCGCTCTCTGACGATTTCCCCAAGAAGCACGACAAGCTCTCCACCACATCGATTTGAGACCCCAGCAAAGCCAGCCTCGCTGCAAACGGTGTTCTCTACCCAAATGCCCACCTATCTACTCGATCGTCCTATTCTTCACCGATCACGCAGCTTTCACAACCAAATCCCACACCTCGATAGCGAAATATTGCCCGTCCATCATTGGAAGTTAGGAAAAGGACATCAGGTGCTAAGCCTCACGCGGTTTGATCCGGGCTCGTAGTGCCTCGCGATACTGCCTTGCCGCTGGGTAGGTCCCGTGTCTTCTCTGTAAGCAGAAGGCGGCTCGCAGACCACCACCACCACACGGTCCATCCCGTCTCCCGCACTCCTTGCAAAGCCTGGTTTTACTACCACCTGGAACGCAAACCCGAGCATCTCTATCACAACTTGTTGAAAATGGACCCGATTCGCAGCTCCGCGCGGTGCGATTCCCATTCCGTGAAGTGATCAAGCTCAACGTGCAGCTTTGTTGCGCTATCCCGCAGCCGCACAGCAGCTACTTTAGACACATGTATCCTCAGTCAGCCCCATCGCAAGGAAGCCTACTGCCGAATGATTCAACGGTTTGACTTTATTAGCTGATTTGGTCCTGATGGAGTGCGCTACAAAGTTCACACGCTCGTGGTTGATGAGCACAGAAATATGAGACCCGGACAATGCGATTCTTGTGCAACCCTTATTCTACTGCGTGTTGCTTTTATTAGCCACTTTTGCCCTTCTTGCGGCATCTTGAAAGACATGGCTGCTAAAGACACCACTTATCATTCATGATATACGCCACAAGTTTCATATGCGGCCAATTAGTTCATATCAACACCTGGAATCTGGGGGCGTCAGACACACGCCACAAGATTGGAATAAGCCGCCCTCGGGCAGGGCTGTCTCAGTGGCAGAGTCTAGAGAGCCCCCCCCCCCCAAAACAACCGGAAGCCCCATGACGAGTTTCTTCAAATAGACGATGAGTCCTTGTCCTCCTTCCACGCGAACTTGAGACTTTCGTTACGTCCAAAACAGCATTAACTGCCACGAGAGCATTCAATCCGAACCAAGATGACTGAAGAAGCTTCGCACGATGCTCGCAATCTGCCACAAGAAATTCGTTCAAAACTACTTCGGTTCGATGGCGACCATGCCATTCACGAGTTCAAATACGATGATCTGCCAGCGGATAAGAAACAGATCCGGCTCCTTCGCCTATTACCAGGGGTTCTTGACAATCCCCAAATCGACTGCGAGATGTTCGAAGCCGAATTCATTCAATTCAAAGAGAAGCATAAGCTGGTGAAGGTCACCAAGTCTCCAATTACGACACCGCGGACCACAAGACACGCAAACTATTGCCAGTCAGGTAAAGCCAGCCACCCTCCAGTCGTTTACGATTGGTGGCGACAACAGCTTCCTCCCGAAACAGGAAAAGCTAGGAAAGACACCCGAGAGATTATCCATTACGAAGCATTATCATGGCGATGGGGCGATGAGACCGCTGGCCCCTATGCTGTTATGATATTAAAAAATGGCGCACTTTACAAGAAAAAAGTGTCAGAAACACTCGGTCTGGCGCTGAAATATCTACGCTATGAGAGAAGAGAACGCATTATCTGGATTGACGCACTCTGTATCAACCAGAATGACCACGAAGAGCGCAGCTCCCAGGTTTCGATGATGTCTTTGCTTTATAGCGGTGCTGATCAAGTCTGCGTGTGGATTGGAAACGACGATGAAGAAAGCAAGACAGCGATCGAATTCATCACAAACGAAATCAACGAGCTTAAAAATTTCGATAGGCTCTGCACCGACAAACAACATGCTACAAAATGGCGGGCACTTCTTGGGTTAATGCAGCGCGCTTGGTTCTCTCGCCGGTGGGTTGTGCAGGAGATCGCACTTGCGCCGAAGGCAACTGTGTACTGTGGACCAGACCGGATACCGTGGCGAGAGCTGGCAATTGCAGTCGAACTCTTTGTCGAAGTTGAAACTGCTACGCACAGGCTTTCGGAACTCATGAAGAAGGACGACAAGTTGGGACTAATCCCAAATTGGTTTGAGCATATATCCGAACTGGGAGCCAGTCTCCTCGTGAACGCCACGGCCAGGATTTTCAGAGAATACAGAAAGGGTTACGGTGTACCCTCAACAAGACACGTGCAACCTCGCCGAAGTTTGCTTAGTCTGGAGTATCTAGTCACGTCTCTCTCAATTTTCGACTGCGGGCGACCGCATGATTCGGTATATGCTCTCGTCGCTATTGCACGAGATGCAGCGCCATTTCCGCCGACTTCGATCACCGAGAGAACGAAGGAAGCTCTCATCGCCGAGGTCTTCTCTAGTGAACTCGAACAAAAACCTTATCCTCTCGACTACAACCTTCCCTACGCTGATGTTTGCAAGGACTTCACTCTATTTTGCATCCAACGCTGTGCCGATACCGACCCAGTCCAGGCCTTGGACATTCTTTGTCGACCTTGGGCGAAAGACTGGCGACCTGGCGAGTTCATTCCCCATGATCCGAAGACTGATCGTAAGAAAGAAAAGCTCATCGAACCGCAAGCCAATAGCCACTCTCTCAACATAGCTTACTGGGGGGACAAGGCAACGCCGAAATACCATGTTGCATCAACTTCGACTGTACGGAAATGGTTTCCTACTATGGAAGAACAAGTCTCTGCCAAACAGAAAGCAGACTCGGCCAAAGTCCAGAGGGAGCCGGACAGGTCGAGACGGCAGGGAAATAAGAGGCGGAAACTTCACCACGTTTCCGAAGACACAGTTCCAGAGATTCGAGAACTCGGCTTACCATCTTGGGTGGCGAGGATTAATGGCGCACCATTCGACATTTTCCCTCATCCAGGAATGGATATGGTGAAAATGGGTCGCAAGAATGCAGACCCGCTCGTCGGCATCCCTCAAGACGGACACAGAAACTACAGTGCGGGGCAGTCAAATGAAGTTGACCTCAAGAGTCTGAAGTTCAGAAGAAGGGCCCGGCTCGGCCACTACAGTCTCTACGTGAATGGCTTTCGATTCGATAGAGTAAAGGAGGTTGCCCAAGTTTCCCAAGCCGGACAGATTCCGGCTTCATGGCTCGATCTGGCTGGCTGGGAAAGTGCTCGAAGGCAAAGGTCGATTGACGACGACCCCGGAGATCCTCCCGATGAGTTTTGGCGAACTCTCGTGGCTGATCGAGGCCGACACGACCGAAATCCACCATACTACTATGCTCGAGCTTGCAAGGAGACTATCATGAAAGGTGGCCTCCGAAGCAATGCCGTGGATACAACAGCTCTAATATACAACGAGCGTAATTCTATCATCGCCGAGTTTTGCCGGCGAGTCCAAGCCGTCATCTGGAATCGAGCTCTAATCCGAACTGAGAAGGGCATCCTGGGTCTGGCGTCTGAGAATGTAAAGAAGGGTGATTTGATTTGCATAATCTACGGATGCACAGTCCCGATCATCTTGCGGAAAGGAGGTTTAAAGACAGTTAGAGAAAGGGAGATGGAGATTGTCGAAGACAGAGTGGAGGCCATGCATAGAGTGATGCGAAGATGTGAGAAATTTAGGGCCCGCAAAGCACACTACTTGAGAAAGACAGAAGAGGAGAAACAGCAGATTGCCAAAGCCTTGGAGCAGCACAAGGAAGATGCAATCAACGCAGAGCCAAACCACCACTTTGCAAGTAGGCGGAAAAGCTGGTACAATAAGCGGAGAGCCCATAGCGCAGACAGAGGGGAAGAGGAGGAAGTGGAGGAGCGAGGAGAAGATTACAGTCCCTGCAGTCACGACAATTCCAGTGAAGATGAGAGCGAAGAGAGCGAGTTGGACAGTGATGGTAGCGATGATGAGGGAGACGGGCTGGAGAATGGTGTCGATAATGCAGAGGACAGAGCAAACGGCATCACAAACGACAATTCAGGACCGCAGAGGCCAGGTTCACCTGTGAATAAGAAGAAATCAAGGCAAGGGAAGGCAAATCAGAGAGATCCATTCAGGCACTACGAGTTCTTGGGACAGGCTTATATTCATGGAATGATGGATGGCGAGGCTGTGCGGCAGAAGTTCTATGCGAACAAACCAGACCATGTTTTTGAAATCAGGTGATGGTCTGAGTTCGAGGGAAGTTGCAGCTTCGGGGAAAGACTTAAAGGGCCCCCGAGTAGCTTACCGCAGTGTCGATAGCCTTGCGCTAGAATACTTCAGAAAGCCGGACCGTTGAAGTGGCTTATGAGGTAAATTCAATACTTTTGAGATGCCTACTGCTGTATTTTTCTGGATGTTCGTGTGTGAATTGTGAAAGGAGAGGTGGTGAGGGTAGTGCTCGTGTTGGCTTGCTCAGCTCTGCTTTTCCTGGGAACGCGGATCTATGTTCTAGTCCTACATACCTATCGATATACTCTTCGGTTCTATCATCTACAGCTTGCCGCGATTCCACGACCCAACTTTTCATCCCTTAGATTTGGAGGTTCAGAGACATCACGTGCTATCAAAAACCTCGACTTTGTGCAACCAGGGGTCGCATAAGCAGGTGCAAATGCAAAGAGTAAAAGCCAGATTTTCTCACTTTAAGAGATTATATTGTGATCTTAGAGTCCCCCCCCCCCGGAACAAAGCTGCGCAAGAGAAAGTATTCTTTTAAAAGAGGGCTTAGTTTGAAGAGCAAAGTGTTTATTCTTGGAGGAAGGCCCCTAACCCTCCCTTAAGCAAAGGAGGAAGCAAAAGAAGGCAAGAGGAGTCTTTAATCTTTTGGGGGGGGGGCCTAAACCCCCCTAAGCCTCCGGCAGCGAGTCAAATATTTCTCCAGGTCATGTGATTGCGCTTTTTCGCAATCACGTGAGTTTTCTGCCACACCAGTCCACCACGCGTAACTAAAACCCAGCTTCCGACAATTCTAAATCAGGCTTTTAATAATCACTGTCTGCTAGGCCTCACCGCAGCCTCGTTATCTGCCCATCACCCTCTTTGCCAACAGTTTGGCCTCGAGAAAACTAGCGCTCATCTAAAGAGAAAATTTGGTATATCTTCTCATCCCGAGAGAAATCATTTAATAAGTTTGGAAGTGAACAATGGCAGCAATGGCGCTACCCGGGTGTTTTAATAAAAAAAGTATCTTCTAATTAATAAAAAAGTAACCCTTCTTATATTAGGGCTAAGGCTTATTAATTAAGTAGTTGTATTTTTTTTCATTTTATATTCTCGAAGTATTACTAGGGGCCGTATAAGCAAGTGCCAGGTGCAAATATAAATAATAAAAGTGAGATTTCGGTAGAAAACTATATAAGATATATTATTGACATCTTGGGGGGGTCCCGGCCTCCCCAAACCCCCCGGATACAAAAGCGCGCAAGAGAGCGTATTCTTCTAATATCCTAAGAGTTAAGATAATAGTCGTTAATCTTAGGGGAAGACCCCCTAACTATCACGACTCGCTAGACTAAGCGAAAAGGCACGCAGGGAAATAACTTTACCGCGTGGGCAAACGGGTCAAAAGGCATAATAATAAGGTTGCAGCCTTATTAGCTATTCTACTACATAAGAGCACGGGTCTCTCATCTTTCATATACGACAAGGGACTGCCATCCCTCAGATATCAAAGACTTATGTTGCCTTTGAGTAATATCTTAACGGGAATTTGACTCCACCTTCCCTCACCTTGTCTTCTTGCCTAGAGAAGTTTGACAACAAGAATGAACTTGACAACATAACTAAGAACATCTTGCCAAGTGCACGTATGAGGCATGATGTGATCGCCACGTGATAATTTTGAATATCTTCCTCTTGTCGAGACTTCTACCTTTCTGGGTTTGGTCACTTGCACCGTTCGGAGTATATTTTTCTCTGAGAGGTACGGATGTATTCAACTAAGTAGCTTTTGGTCATTCCTCAGAAGGAACGTTTCTCTCGCCAAGCAAAATAATATAGCCCCTAGTCATAACAATCCTCACTCTTGCAAAATACCTGTGCCCTATAGCCTAGTTGCTATGTGCGGAGGTTCCTTGCCACAAACTAGTCCGCTCCGTCTATGTGAGGGTGGGGTTTAGTCATGGGAGTTGATATTGTAAGCCAGCTCTCATTATCTACTAAACCTAATGTTGGAATAGCGGCGTTCGTCTGATCTTCGTCTGAAAAGTTTTACAGCATGGCAACGAAAGTCTTTGAGGCTAGCAAAAAGATCACGATAGTTATTGTATCTTCACGAGCTTTGATTACTATATACAGAGCTTAGAGGAATCTTGACAGCAGGAAATTTGATGACTGTAAACCATAAGGACCTATACTACTGGGTCTAGTAACCTTGACCTGATAAGCACAGATATAAATGATGAGACAGCTACTAAATGAGATTTGCCTTGAAAGAGCTAGGGTTTAATTTGTGGGAGTACTAATTACTAATCTCAACTATCTTGTTTTCAGCAAGTAAATTGTCACACTTAATCTGACTGCACCAACCACAGATTTTATAATTGCATTTAAAGTCAATGCTCAAGTCCCCGTTAAATCAAGTTAAATGTATGCGGGAAGCTAGAGATCGAGGGGAGGGACTTTGATTAGGAAAGTTGAGACTACCTAAGAGCCGAGTACTTGACTATACTTCCCGCGCTCGAGTCAGGGTGTCAATGATGGCGCATTCAAGTACGGGTGCGTTCAATTAAGGGGAAGCACTCAACAGGGTCTCAATTCTAAGCAACAGCTTTTCCTGAGTGAATCCATGTCTATAGTGGTCCGCTTTATTCTTCGTGGTGGTTGGAACAAATTGCTGACAAGGGACGAGAAACGATATCCGATAAGTGACAACAGACAGTATGGCTGGGATTATTTATGGATTCCAGGTTTAAAAACAGTACTTGGCTAAAGTTCTCCGCAGATAGCCACAGTTTTATGGTTCTAGTGCGGCATGTAATTCATGTGATATTTGACTTAAGTGTGTAGGCTGGAAGCCAAGTAAGATCATCTCCTCCATTGTGAATCCATTGCTTTGGCTCAGGCCTCGCCATATTTATATTAGAGGGGACTTCGTACTAGGTAACTGCACGGCTACAACGTGCCGGAGTTCGCAGCCGGTGTGTAATTGGAAGTTCCCCCAAAAATATCATATGATAAAGCTGATTTCCTCCTCATATGGGAGTATTTCACGGAAATAAGAGCCTGTGGAGAAGTTATTAATTTGGGTTAGAGGACGTGCGGGTCTAGGCCTTATGCAGCTAGAACTGCATGGAGAGAACTACTTCAGAGCCGAGTACTTGACGATATTCAGTAATTTTTTGAGGAAGAATGGTAAATGGGTGGTCAATATAGAAAGAATAGACTTGTCTTTTGACTTGGTCCATGTCTGCAGCAGTTCTTCACGTTTTTTCTCCGCTCATGGTTAGGGCGGTAAGTGACAACGGACGGGTAATGACAATAGACGGTATGATTTTGAGACTTGAAGAATTTGAACTTTGAAGGTAGGATTTGGTTAAGGGCTTCTATAAAGTGCTACAATTTTGTATTTAGAAAGCATGATACGGTTGAGGCTTGAGAATGTTGGCTACTAATCAGGATCATTTCGTCTACTATAAACCTATTGCTTTGATTCAAATCTGGTATCTTCCTCTGCAATATTTATATCTGGAGAAAAATTCGTAACAGGTAACTCTGCGGCTGTAATGTACCTACGCTAGCGTACAGTAGGAGTCTTCTTGTATACTACGTAATACTGATCTCTTCTCCTTTTTGAAAATTCTGCAAGCAAGAAATGATTTACCTTTGAGAAAGAGGTGCTCGAATTCTCTATATAATGCAAAGCGTGAGAACTTGGAAGAGTGAGTGCATGGTCTCTTGACTTCATAGCGATTCAACCCCGATGCAAACTGGAAGTGATTCACCGTTTGACGATTGATTCACTTGAGCATTTTCCGAATTGTTGCCTCCTGAAGACGGGATCACATGATAATATGAATGTCTACATGTACCTCGAGAGACCTGCTCCTCCCAGTTTACCGAAGCGTGCAAATACTGTTCTTAGAAGAAGATGAATCATTAGGGGATGGGCTTTCATTCTCAAATCGGAAGGAGGGCAGCCCTTGTCAGGATGCGAAGCATAAACTTGGCGAGGAACATGGCAACTCAACCTAACACGATTCCCAAGCAATCACAGAGACCTTATGCTTGAACTTCTTTTCCACACTCCTGGCCAACTATAAAGGTTAGCCCTAGCCCTTGAGGGTGAGTCCTACATGCAAACAAGTCAACCTTATGAAGAAGAAGTACAGTCTCCAGCATGGCGTTCGTCTGAACTTCGTCCGAAAGGTTTTGCGCTGTGACAACGCGACAAAGAAATTTTTATGAGGCATCTTGGTCCTTTTAGAGGACCTTGTAAAGGTTGGAAATTGTAAAATACTTGCTGAGACAACTTTTGGCAGCAAGATGCTTGATGGCAACAAAGATTTCTCTGGTAGCAGGAGACACCTGTCAGTCAGGAAAGAATATGAGCTTGGCATAAGGAAGACAAGGAACAAGATTTCTGCTATCTCTGCTAAACGAGATCTACATTACTTGAGCCAGTCTTGATGCCTCGATTAATAGAACCAACCAGCTTCACAGCTGCCATCCATCTGGTATTAACCTTTGGTTCTACTCAGATCTGAGAGGTGGATCTATGATATTTATATACAGAAAGGAAAGAGACTTCCTTCCACACCGTCTAGCTCTAGATTCCTCCATATCCAGCGCTACACAGAGATAAAGAGTCCCAAACATTGCTGATCACGTGAATCAGTTAAGATCCTTTCCGCGGTTCTTGATATTTGACTTCGGAGGTATTGATGTAGAGGGAAGGCAATGTTGTTATGGTAAGCTTAACGAATGGACCACTACCAACTACGATTACTTCGCTCGGGGGCAGAAGTCATCGGGCTCGACTTGCAACATATCCAGTCAATGACCATTTCCGTTCGCACGTTGTCAAAACTAGTACCTCACACCTCCAATATGGTCTCCACTATTTGAGGGAAACGAGATTGACAATAGCATGTTGAATGATAACAAGAGATTTGTGTACTCGAGGTCTTTGACTGCACCATCTCATCTCGGACTACTTGCCTTCCCGTGCATAGGTTCAATACCACTGTCAACGCACCGAAAACGAGACAAAGACCAAGCTTCGGAACGCAGTGATTGTACGGCTACGGCGACAGCGATACAGGACTCTTGGATATTATATTGAGGTGGGCAGTCACGAGGATTATATTGAAGAAATCTGGTTGTTTCCAGAATGGA